TGCTGTGGCGAGTTCTTGGAATCGCAGAAAAATTTTCTGTGATGTCTCGGGTGGAGTCCCATTGAGCCCATCCACCACTGATGTGTTGTCCAGGCAGACATATAGCTGTTTTCCGTGTCCAATTGCCCTGGCTGCTGCAAGACCTTAGAGAGCACCATAGACTTTCAGCATCTACTACTTCTGCTTGCAGAAGTCTACCCTTTCCCCGGTATACTTCTTGAGTAGTGCCGTCTTTCCTGATGGTATAGCCCCATCCAGTACGGGTTGTGCCTTGGTTTGGTCGTCCAATTGTGATCTATCTGAGTAGATGACAAGGTCAGTGTTCGCATTTCTTTCCTGTAGCCATTGCTTGAAGAGCTCTATTTCTTTGTCTTTGTCTTTACGGACTGGGGGCTTCTTCCATAATGGCTTGGTGAGTATTGGTCTCTAGAAGTCAGGGATTAATTAGAAGCTCCTTTGTAGCCTTGTTGGTTCTTTGCGAGCTTGTATTTGGAGCCTGCCAACAAGAGGGTGTCTCTGGTCTACTCGCCCGAGTCGGAGGTCGTGACGTCTTTTTATTGACTCTGCAAGAATTCCTGCTGGAGGAATCTGTGATTCAAAGTGTAGGATATGTCCAGGGTGTGTTTTCCAGACTGGCAAGATAGCTCTGATTGCTGTTCGTAGTACAGCCTCTATCGTTCTAAGAAGCCCTTTAATGCGACATGCTGATGTCCCACCTAAGCTCCCAATTTTTTCTATTCCTGGGTACCAGGCCTCCAGGCCATGTGTAAGAATAGGAATAACACAAGTTTTCACAGCCTTCTTGGTTGACTTTACTGGAAGTCCTTTGACTGTGTTGCATAGTCCTCGAAGGTGGTTTGCTACCTTACTAGCTTTCTTGGCCCAGTAAGAAACGTGATCTTTAAAGTTCAGTTTTCTATCCAGGAAGACACCCAGCCATCGCATGGAGTTCTTTGCTGTTCTGTTTATTGTCCTGTGGCGGACCGGAGGATTGTTTGAGTTCTTTTTCCTTGAGAAGTGCATGATCTCGGTTTTGTCGGGATCAAATTCAATAGCATTATTATGTCCCTATTGGTTGAGCAGGTAAAGATTTTCAGAAGCCTCTTTGGCTGTTTCTTTAAGGTCCTTTCCAATACAGAGAGTCGCTAGGTCGTCTGCATATCCAAAACGTCTCTTTTTCATACCGAGTCGGGCACAGATTGGCTCTGTATACAGCATATAAAGGATTAGAGAAGCTGGTAAGCCTTGTGGTAGCCTACAAATGAGAGCTTTTATGTCGGTCACAATACCTTCAAACCAAACTCTTGCGGACCGTTCAGACATGAATGACTGGACCCATCTTATGAGAAAGTCTGGCCAGCCCTGTTCTCTCATATGAACCACCAGCCGTCCCATTAGGGCAGCGTCAAAGGCCCCTGTCACATCTGCTGTGACTACCGTTGCAACAAGGTCTTGGTCAAGGGCCTGCTCAATATCGTGTATGAGTGCAGCTACCAAGTCGGCGGCAGAGCGCTTTGGCAGAGCTCCAAAATGTTGTGGAGCTAGAATTCTGAGTTTGATGACAAACCAGGCAATTCTTTTTGTAATGAGTCGTTCTAGGCCTTTGCCAAGACATGATAATAGCGATATTGGTCTGTAGGCCCTGGGGTTAGAGTAGTCTTTCTTGCCTGGCTTTGGGATCATCACCACCTCAGCTACTTTGAATGATTTAGGGTGGTGTCTAATCTGTAGACAGGTCTGGAAAAGGGCTCTAATATGCTCCCCAATGACTGGCCAGCAAGCTTTCAGAATCCGTACTGTGAGGGTGTCTACTCCTGGGGAGTTGCTCTTGGTCCCTATAGTGCACCCTTCAGCCTCTTCTAGTCCGACATGGTATTCAAGGGGGATGTGTGGCTTGGCTTGTGTGATCTGAGCAGACCAGGGGTCGATGATATCATTATCTGGGGTACTTCGTTCAAGCGTGGCTAAGCATAGTGCATTTGCCTTTCTCTCTTGTGACTCAAAGATTTGGTCCCCTATGATGATTGGGGGGGAACGCAATCCTGCTGACAGCTTGTGCCAGGAAACAATTCTGTACAGGTCTTTTGGTTCAGTCGCTGAATCAATTAGAGTCTGCTAGTACTCTCTCTTAGCTTTTCGGACCACACAGCGAAATTCCCGTCCGGCTGAATTTCGCCCTTCTTGGCTTGTGGTCTGTTTAGAAAGGGCCCTGTATGTCTGAACAGCTGCTTTGCAGTCATCATTCCACCAAGCAGTGGGCCTAGATTGACGGGGCTTCTTGCCCACTGTCCTGATACAGCCTTGGATCATGCTTATCAAGCTTTATGTAAAGGCACTCACCTGGCCAGGGGATACACCCAGCCGGGGGAGTTCATGAATCCTGGTTTGGACATTATCTGCCAGCTCTTGTAGTTTATTGTCCGGTACTATCCATTGATTGGCCTTGTGGATTTGGTTTAGATCTCCCTGAATTGGAATGACTATTCGTAATGTCTTATGATCTGAGGTGCACTGAAGTGTATCATTGACTGAGGCTTTAGCCATGGGGACATCTGAGAACACCAGATCTAGTATATTTCCGTCATCATATGTTGGGACATCTGGTTCAGAAATCAGATCCAGTCCGTGGTCTGCCATAGTCTGTGCAAGTATGACACCACCATGATATCCTGGATTGCTCGAGTCCTAGGATGTGTCGCCAGCATTGAAATCTCCAGTTATAACGCAGCCAAAAGGTGGAGTCCATACTTCCAGAATGTCATCCATTTCCTGTGGGTTGTCACATGGCCGGTAGACACTGGCGAATGTAATGCCTTGTACCTTGGCCCAGGTGATGTCTCGTGTAGCATAGGGTCGAAATTGAGCCGCTTGAAGGTGTTTTCTCACTTAGATGAGAGATCTGGGCTGTGTACTGTCGCTGTTCCAGGAATCCACTGGGGAATATATATTGTAATTAGTGGGTGTCTTTACTCCTATTCTCCTGCCTGGTGGTATACCAACCCAGGGCTCTTGCATCAGAATGATGTCTGCTTGTTCTCCTTTGTAGTCAGCCAGGTTGATGACTAACTCTGTAGGGCCTACACTCTTTTGTCCTCCTGCTGCATTTACACAATGGATGATTGGATGCCCGTGTCGATGTGTTTCGTTTGATGTACCTAGTATTGACTGACGATAATAGTATCGGTATCCTTGGGATGAGCTGTATCTGTTGTGTCGATTTGTATTGTGGTGTCTTTGTTATTATTATTAGGTATTGACCCAGCTTGGTTTCTGCCTATTTCATTGAAGGCCCTGGATCTGGCTCTTTCTCCGGCCAGCCTTATTTCCTGGATTTGCTCCCATGTGTGCTTGTGGATGATGCCTTTCACAACCTTGGGGCGTACAGGGCATTTGTCGAAATTGGCAGCATGAGGTTCTTTGTAATTGACACACTTTGGGATTGGTTTTTTGCACTCCCCCTGGTGTACTGCACTGGTGCAACATGCACATACTTGCTTTTCACATCGGTAGTTCCTACCATGGTATCTAAAGCAGCTCGCACACTGGTGAACCTTGGGGGAGTATTGAATATGTCTTAAGGTCATTGAGTGAGCAAAAAACGTGAATGGTTTCTTTGCTGTACGGGGCAGAGAGATCACCCATGTGGTCTCCGGATCAGAATCAACTGTGTTCCTTGAGAATATGTACCTTAAGGGTCTGTCACCTGTTTGGGCTTCAACTTCATCAGCAACAGCAATGTCGGTAATGTTGATTGTTAATCCTTCCGCACTGATGACCTTTCTTGGGCATCCATCAACCTTGTAATGATGCCAGACTGTGTGGGTCTCAATCTTTTGTGCCTTGAGAATGTCGGCAATTTCTTCTTGGAAAGCCAGAAGCTTAGCCTGAGTTGGCTTGTCCCTTAGGTGTAAGGTAAATCCAGAAGGACACCGTGTCACTTCTCTAAGCTCCTGAGGGTGGAGCTTAAGTCTTCTGTTTAGTGTAAATTTGATTCTATAAGGCTCTAAGTGGCTATTATCCATGCGGACAAAGACCCAGAGGTCATCCTGCTTCTTCTTCAGTTGGTTGGCAGTGATGAGGGCGCCAGGCTGTGTTTTCTTCATGGTAGTGTTGACTGTCCATGGATGCTGTCGTTGGCCAGAGGAGACAGCTTGGGCAAAGGTCATAATGGGCTTTCCTATCCCTGTCCCGCCAGGAGTGGTCTTTCTTTTGGGCGGATCTCGGGTTTCCAACCACTCATTCAGGCATTTGGAGAAGAAAGCGCTGAACTCCTTGGCATGAGAGTATAGTTCGGTTCCAGCTTTCTCAAGTGTCTTATCGACTGCTGTAGCACACTCCTGAAACATTGTTATCCTGGCTTCATAGAGATGCTTGTCTTTAGCCAGTATTTTGGCAACTTGGTCCTGGCATTCTGAAGAAGAGACTTTGTTCCCTGTATCACTTCTAATGACTTGGTCTGTAAGGATTTCGATTGACTGAGGTGATTCTATATCAATGGTGCTGCTATTATTGATATTTCAGGTTTTTCCTTTCAGAGGGGAAACAGTGGTGAAGTCAGCCTCAGAGACCTGTGACGGGCTGCTGTTGATGTCGTCGAGCAGTGCCTGGCGGAGCCTGCTTGGGGTTGCCAGGCCATATGTTCTTTTAGGGGCTGGGGATTTGAACACGCCGCCAGTAGTCGTCTTTGGGACGGCCACTGGCGTATTTGGGGGCCTATCGTGAAGGGGTGCGATCCAGCTTGTGAGAAAAATTTTCTGTGCTTTGGCAAGGATAGTCAGATACTGAGACAAATGCCTGCTTTAGTGCAGATATAGAGGTTGCGCCCTAACAGTGGGGCGCCAAGAAAAATAGTTGTTTTTGCAAGTTGGTTGGCAGTGCTGGAAAAGGTTCAAAGATTGATTCACCGGTTAGTCATATCAATGTCACTCAACCATCGACTCCACGTTACCAAGACAGGGACAACGTGGTAGGAGAAACCCATAGAAGGATTTTGGATGATTTCAATGATTTCTAGGTTCTCTAAAGAACCACTGCCCATCCTCCTTGCGAATCAGTTCGACCTCTGTGCGACCAAGGCGATCGTTGAGACCCTCCGGGACGTCCATGCCGTCGCGAACCTGCGCATGAATACCCTTCGAGACACGACAAAATAGCATGGGTAGCGAGTCTCCTTTCCAAGCACAGACCTGATCGTGTGCAGTCCTCCAGACGGTTATAACGAGGCACAAAATGCCAAAGACCATCAGCGTCATTGGATATAGCACCCAGTACCAGTTTACATCCACGTGGGAGGCCATGATATACGCGGTACCGCTGTAATACAAAGCCTTCGTCGTGTCGAAGGTGCCGCTGAGTCGGACATTGTTGGTCAAGCTGAGCGTCAACCGGTTCATCCAATCTGGGAGATCCGAAGTCGCGTTCTGCATCGCTTGGACCCAGTCTGAGGAATAGTCGACCACGCCGGCTACTTCCGAGGCATTTCCCCACATGATGGCGTTCATGAAGTCTCGCAAGGCCTCGAGCGAATCGGATGGGACGGAGTAGCGGGTATAGTTGTCCGCATTTAGCTCTGGTGGTATGTCTTGAAACACGTATTCATCGAAATGGGCGCTGCTTTCGGGTACAAACTCGGCTTTCGACCATTTTGCTATCACTGAGCTAGTTTTGATGCCATTTGTGACGGTGGTGTTGTAGCTCTGAAGGCAGACCCATAGCGCACACTCGTATGCCTCTACCCGTGTCTCTTTGGATGTGGTTGTCACTGACATCAGGTCAAAGATAGAAAAGAACGCCCGTGAGCTTTGGTCGAAATAGCCGGCTGAGCCATTCGAAGGAGCGACGGTGAAATGGTACTCATAAGGGATACCAACGGGATTGAAGATCGAGGTACCCGAGGGCATGGTGTAGTTGCACCCAGTTTCTACGTCGCAGGATGTTCTGTGGAGAGACTCGGTACAGTTACCACAAACAGCCAACGATGGGTAGATTGGCCAAGTGCAATTCGCTGTCGCACAGGATACTGGCAAGTCTGACAAGGTACCAGCTATTACGCCATCGTAGATCGCAGCTTTCGTTGAGAGCCCTAGAGACATATCTTGATAGGGTCAGCACGGTACAAGATCAAATCAAGCGTGAGTACCAACCGCCACCGAAGCCCTGGGGCACTATATTGTGCCACGCCTCTGCCCTCGGGGGCGGCGGAGCTGCGAGCGCGTTCATGCTGACCCTGTCCACATATACCGTAGGGTATTCGTTGAATTGAACCATCTGCGACGAGAAGGTCTCCGAAGCCTGGATGAGAATCGTGATTGCAGCACCGATGCAGGCAAGATGTCTACTCGCGTGAGCGTGGGACCATCGCCTTAGCCACCATGATATATCACATACCTTGCCTTCATTCGCCATATAAGGACCAAAGCACCCCACAAGCCACGAGAAGCCTCGTCGAACATCTTGAAGTCCTCCAACCGGGCCTCTGTCCTACCCTTGCGGAAAGCAGAGACCCAAATCCAGGCATCTTGGCTAATGCATGTCTCGATGATTCCGCCTAGGGACAGGCGGAAAACAGTCATCATGGCGACTATGACTGTGCTGAATTGGAGGTCGCTGTTCCAGTCGGGCTCGAGCTTGCCGTCGAACAGATATAGCAGAGCCAATAACCCGGCGCCTGTTGCGAGACATATTAAACAGAAAACATACTCCTCTTGCCACTAGTGAAGAGTCGATCGAAGGGTACGCCGAAGTTCGCCGGCGGAAGGAATTGAGTGGTCGGTCGAGCTGCTCTCGGCATCGGCTTCGACATCGCGGTCGTGGGCCATCGCGATGCGCTCGTAAAGGTGACGTTCTCTCCAAGACAACATGACAGATGGGCGTACGTCGAGGTCTCGATGGATCTCAACGATAAGGTGTTTGGTGCAAGAGCATGTTGGGGCGTGGTAGGACGGCACAGCTAAGAAACCAAGGCAGAGAGTTATGAGGTCCAGAATGAAGAGTGAAAGATAATACAGGGAAGAAATGAAGCGAAAGGGGGCGAGGTTGAGGTGGAGAACGAGGGATGGGTTGTGGGTTGTTGATGTGATGGATCAAGGTGTGAGGGGAGGGTCCGGGAATATGGTGAAGGTCCGGAATCGGTGTGCCGCCTCCAGCTCTTCGACTTTGAAGGAAGTTGCGCTGCCATGTACCGCATCCATAACCACGCCTTCCTAGACTTGGATACCTTCAATGTCCTTTCCGCCACCAGTCTCAGCCGTGGTACATGAATACCTTGAGTGGTGAGGTCGATGGTTGGTCGGCGACCGTGGCTTCCACGGTCTTCACCACGTCCACTACTACATTATCCCGCTCGTTTGTGGTCATCGATGATGTGCCCCTATATAAAGGCCCTTAAATGATGAAGTTGAACTCAATGTGAGTGGCAATCATATAGGACGTACTACCCCTCAGATTACATACACGACGAAGTGCGTAACTGCATATGCATGAGCGGGTATGAGGTCCCCACAACCCACCTGTCTTTGTCAACCGGACAGGACTCAGTGACTTATAAGAGGCGGGCAACAGGTCTGGGTCATGACTGTTGGTCGAACATCTCATATTCACGTCGAAGCGGAACAAAGATGCGTCTTCCTCACTATGCCTCGCTCCTCTGCGCAGTCCAGACCTGGGCATTCCAATTCCCACGAACACCCATCTTCTCACCAGGCCAGAGACCTATGTATGGGCTCGCCAACGACCATGATATCGATATCGTGACGGGAAGCCAGTTCAATGGATTGACCACGTTTGCACACCTGCCATACGTCCATTGTTTCTCGGACGAAGGGGCGCAGGGGAATAAATACGACATTGCGATCTTGGGTGCGCCGTTCGATACAGTCAGTAAACTTCTATACCGAGCACAACTCTTCACTTGATCGAGATGCTGAGGTCGATAGGGTGTCACGGCCAGACCAGGAGCTCGATACGGTCCCGTAGCCATTCGGATTGGCAGCCAGAGGATAGATGCCGAATTCGCGTGGAGTGTATATACCGGTGAGTGACGAATGGCTCAGGCACCTGCTTTAATCCCTTGGATCTTGACGGATAGTAGGCATAAATCCTCTCAAGTCGTGGGCCAAAGTCGTGGACTGCGGAGACGTGCCAATGGTTTGGCTGGATAACAACGTCGCGCTGGCGCAACTGCACAAAGCCCACAAGGTAAGCTGGATCGATCACTATCCCGAAGCGGTATATGGGGATTGAGAGCGCTTAGACGATAAATACGCCAGGTTGTATCGGGCAGAGGGGCGTCCAACGAGAGTTATTCCCTCACCCCAAGGATTGTCACACTCGGAGGCGACCACACGACCACATTGTCGGCTCTGAGATCTACGCATCAGCGATGGGGAAGAGTCTCAGTAATCCATTTCGATAGCCATATAGGTCAGCCTCCTTTCCTTTGCAAGTCCAATGGGTCCAAGCTGATTTGCTGCCAGATACCTGGGATCCGGCTGTACTTGGTGAGTAACCCCAGTGTTCATCGAGACACTAACTCACACGTCTTCAAGGAGGTGGGATATCAGACTACGCGTGAGTCAACACCTGTTCTCACAACACTGTGCCATCTGTCAGCTGAACTGTTGCGTCGACTAGGGGTCTCAACCACGGCACGTTCCTACACATCGCCCACGAAGAGGTGTGTACCTAACCCAACCTATTACTCACTCATCCTCCCCCTTTCCCCTTTCTCCTTTTCCATTGCTCTCCTAACATCCACCACCATCACCACCAGGGCCTAATCCACAAGACCTCAATCCACGCCGGTATCCGAGCCCCCCTCGCACGCCGCAAAGGCGACCTCCGCAACGACGTGCGATGCGGCTTCGCCATGGTCACAGCGCGCGACCTAGACACACTGGGCGTACCGGGCACAATCTCACGCATCAAGGAGCGCGTCGGCGGCTCCAAGGTCTACATCAGCGTCGATATCGACGTATTGGACCCTGCATTCGCGCCCGGTATGTGCTTCACGATAATCCACCTTCTCCCCTTATCCCTCTACGGCGTTGGATGGGGCCGTATCACTATGAGAAGCAAGCGGATAGATGGTATACTGATGGGAAATAGCGACCGGAACGCCCGAGCCCGGCGGCTGGTCGACGCGCGAGCTGCTGACGATCCTCGATGGGCTGTCCGGGCTGGACATCGTGGGCGGCGACGTCGTGGAGGTGTCGCCAATTTACGACACGCGCGGGGAGACGACCGCACTCGCGGCCTCCGAGGTTGCTTTATCGCTGATCGAGCTCATGGTTGAGAATCCGGTCAAGTCGCTTGCCGACTCCGACGCTTTGCACATGTAAGCCCGTGGATGAAGGAGCTGCAGCGCGTATGAGGCTACTGATGGGCATGGTAGTTTGATAAAGGTTGAAACGTGAAGTAATGAACTTGGGAGGAGATTTCAAATGCAGATTGGATTGGAAGCTAGTCAGCATAGCTAGCATATGTCTATGGACTTGCCCCTATTCCTCTGGAAAAAGGGCAGATGCAGTGAACCTCAAACACACAAAGACTCGACGCAGCCCCTTCCATACACCAGATTATGACGGCCGCCAATCGTGTACTGCACAACCCCATGCTAAAGATGTATTTAGCACCAGGCGTTCGTACACACATGAGGAGAATCCAACACAGCGCAGCCACGAGCAGCGGTGGCGTGGCCTCATCCTCTTCACCCGTCCTTATATGCGGTCCAGCTTCCGCCGATCGTTGCGAGTCCGCTTCATCAGCTTCTTATACTTCTTCTTCTTCATCTTGAGCTTGCGCTGCCGCTTGACGCTGATGGCGTGCATGTCGGAGCTCTGGCCGCGGACATGTTCGCGGCGAATCTGTCGGATGGCCATGCGTTCGAGGAACGAGCGCGGCGGTTGCACCGCGTTGCCCTTGTTGCCGTCCTCTTCGAGTAGTGTCGGGCTGTGGGCGACAATACGCGCCTCACCGTTCGAGTCGATGGTCTCCTCGAGGGTGAATGTAGCCTTGTAGATGCGGGTTTGCGGGGACTGCTCCACCACTGCCGCATCCGGGTCCTCGGCCAGGCTGGCGGACTCGGATTGCGGTTGGGGCAGTGGAGGCGGTCGGAAGGGCAGGAACTGGCCCGACATGTGGTTTAGCTGCACATAGACGTTCGACTCGCTGCCGTCCGGGTGCCTGACGTTGATCGTGTGCATGGGCTCATCGCCGTTTGCTTCGGCGATTGCAGCAGGGGCATCACCGTCCTGCTGGGTGCTGATGCTCAGACCTTTCAAGGGCTGCTCGATCTGGTCGACTGTCCGCGCGAGGGTTGACACGACGTCGGCGTATTTGGTGGCTTTCGGTCGCGGCGCGAAGATCTGGGCAAAGGTATCGTCGGTGATGATCTTCGGGAAGCTGTGGGTCACGGACATGGGCCGATGGAGGGAGAAGAAGGTTGACGAGGCCAGTGCTGGCGACAATGTCAGTATGTAGACTTATGATACTGTAAACGACCAAAAAAAACCTTCGTGCGGTATATGATCGGTGGTGGGCACGCTGGGGAGGTTCGATGGCGGCTCCATGTTGTCTTTGGTCTTGCGCCTCCGCTTCTCGCCGCCTTGTTTCGTCGACTGGGCGGGCGCGGCAGTCACTTGACCCTCCGCGAAGCGCTTGGGAGAGTCATTCGGACTAGATGGTTTCGAGGATGAGTACCGTCTTCGCTGTTGGGTTCTTGCATTGCTGGCGAAGGCGAAGGCGGCTGGCGCGCGGGCGCTCGCCGGAGCAAAGGTCGATAATAGAGGTGATTGGGGTGCGGCAGTCACCACCCGCCGCACCGAGGAGGGTAGCATCATCCCAGAAGAGAGGCTGAGGGTTGGAGAGGAGGAGGGAGGTGATGAGATCGTAGGTGTGGAGAGACGGAGGCTGCAATCGACCTGGCAGACAGACTGACAGATCCAAGTCGAGACAGCCGCTGAATGCTGCGATGTCAAAGTCGGTTCCGATGCCAACCAGGCTCCGTGAAAAGCCTAGCGCTATCTGGAGGCGCTATGACCTGCCCATGTGATTTGAGGCAGGCCTTGGCGGGCGGCTATCGTGTGGCTCCTCAACCCATTTTGCAGCCACAATGACGGATGGGTCACGGACCAGGATACAAGGTACCTTGGAGCCCGACTGGTACCCGTTTGTGGGATGGGGACACCAGCCATCCCTTCTTTCAATCAAGCAACTTCCAGAATACAGACCAATAGCCACCATTCGTGACCCTGGTCCTTATTCTGGATACCGCTACCACAAGGCACAAGTTGAGCTTTATATGCATAGGCCCCGGTAACTACGTACATAAATATCCGTCGCCCAAACCTCTTTACAGCATGAGCTTTGACAAACTCCCGTCTCTTCAGGTCAACTGTCAGCTACCGTCGATGCTGTGAACGCTTTCCCCTTTCCTCAGGTGATCAGCCCCAGTCAACTTGCCTATCGCTTGAACCCACGTCTCAGTTGGCAACATACCTGGTCCACCATTGACTTAGGTCGTCTGTATTACGAATCTTATATCGTGTGGTTCTTCTCATACGACGCTTCACCAAATGGGGCCTTCGAGGTTAGCCTTTCAAAGGCAAAGTACCATGGGAACAACAGTGAAGCATCATGGCGTATCGATATTGAGAGTATCCTAGAGACTCAAATCAGGAGTCTAGTCAACCATTTGCAAGTTATATGATTATGTCATTGATACCGAGATTCATGGTACGCATACCGATATCCTTCCCAGCTCTTTCTACCATCAGTTCTTTGAAAAGGGGAGGAAGTTGTGTTTTGTACTTAATTGACCACATAACTAGTGCTCCGGTCCCGGACTGGTCAAGACGCACCCAGCCTGCCCTGCTGCTCTCATGAACGGCCAAGATTGGGGCAGATCCCAACCGTCGGCGCCTGTTCCATCAATCGTCTGGGAGTTTCACCTCTTGTGGCAGCCTGACAGCTCTACCAGGACCTGGATCTCAATTCAGCCTCTTTGTAATGGAACGTGGCTACTAGGCTGACCTGTGTTCTCATCGGGGAGTTAGATGGTCTCCACCGCGAGGCGACGACAGACCGGGACGTAGAGTCTCTGTACGCTTCTTCAGCCAGTGTGCTTGAAGCTAAACAGGATCCTTTACTGCGGAGGCACAATGGCATTCTCTACAAAGACCTCATGTAACACCGTCCTTCGGCGAGCTCGTAGACAAAGGGACAACGAGCTCACAGGACAGAATCATTGGCGATTCCTCTTCACAGAAACATAGTGGGCTACCATGTAGGTCCTTGAAAGACACGTGTGTTACTCCAATGAGATTGTGCCGTCCGAAATTACCGGAGCTGATGGCAGTATATGTCTCAGTATACTGTCGTTACATTTCAGGTCCCCAACTCATCTCCAACCCAAACCCCATCCACGTCTCGCTCATCTCTAACTCAAACTCCGTTCACGTCTCAAGGCACTTCCAGAAGCTGAAAGTTTGGTTGCAGCAGTCAAGATGTCTTCATCCAACACCACCATGGTTAAGAAGTTGACCTTTGCTCAGATGAAATCGCTTTGTGCTGCCTACGCCGGCCACCTCCAGAAACACCACCAGGACATCGCGAAAGTCATGACTGCTTACCAAAGTCATGCAGTGACCGCCGTCAAAATCGAACGAAGCGTGGAGTGTCTAACATCTCTCGACGAGATTAAGCAGTATCTAACCAAACGCACCAAGCGCGTTTGTACGTTCTTCCCCCTAAACCTCCCTGTCTACTCCTTGGTCCTCTTCGCTATGATCCCATCACTAACTGCGGACGAGGTGTTCCTGCGGCCTCCTCAGACGATGATTCCTGTCTTCAACCAGCTTCTGGCTAGCTTGAGTCTGCCAAAGTCGTTTCCCAACATTCACGTCGCCTTCTCTGACCGCGAAACATTCGTCCGGGAATGTGTTGCGGATGCGGACGTTACTATCTTTACAGGTAAGAAGACTAACGCGCGTCACGTCCTTCAGACAACTAAAAAAGACAGCCTCTTCTTGTTCAACGGCTGGGGCTGCAATCCAATTGTCGTTGCGGCGGATGCTAACATCGAGCTCGCAGCCGAAAGGGCAGCCGAGGCCAAGCTCTTCAACTCGGGCCAGGACTGCGCTGGTCCGGATAACATCCTCGTGCACAGAGATGTAGCAGACCAATTTCTCACCCATCTGAAGCAAATAGTAGATGATGCCAAAGTCGGCGACTACTCCGACCCAGACGTTCTTGTCGGCAGGATCGCGGAAGAGTCGGCCCTCGTCCGACTAGCTTCCTTCCTTCTCAAGCATCGAGCTGAGACCATTTATGGCGGTGTGATCGACTTCCCCAAAGCCATCGTCCATCCAACCATGATTGTCGCGCCGCTCTCACAGCAGACCAATTACGAGGAGTTCTTCAGCCCTATCTTCTACATCAACATCTACGACGATGACTCGCAGCTGGCGAAGTACTTCGACGACCCTCGCTACAAGGCCAACGACATGTACGTCTCACTGTTCGGCACATCTGCTTATGTCAGCACTTTGAAGCGCTCGATCGTCCACAAAGAGCAGACAATCCTCGACGTCGAGCGTGGAAACAGTGCTTACGGCGGGTACTCCTTCGGCGCATCCTTTGTTGCAACGAACGGCAAAATCGAAGCTCGACCGATCCTCGTGCCAAAGGAGATGTTCCAGTTCCTTGAGGCAAAAGCTTTCAAGTCGGCCGTGTCTGCTCCCCGCAAAATTGCTGCGGCCGAGCAGAAGCGCATATGCCAGGACATCGCCACAACCGTCGAGCGTGAGTTCAGCGACAACCTCGTCTTCGGCTTCGTTTTTGGCAGCGTGGCTAAAGGCTTGGCAACCTCCAACAGCGACATCGACACCATGGTCGTCGTCAAAGTGGACAAACCAGCCCAGCGCCAGTCCTACCTCGCGTTCATGGAAAGCTACCACAAGAAACACGACCTCTCCTACGACCCCGTCTATCCAGTCGAGCTCATCACCCTAGACGAGCTCAACCAGTCCCTTGCCACACTCGACTCCATCACCATGGATCTTGACCACATCTCCAAGGACGACTGGGACGCCAGCTTCTGGACTGCCGTTTTCTGCGGCATGAAGCGCGGCATCGTTGGCAACGAAAAGTTCATGTACCAACTCGCCAGATCCGTGGGTAAGTATCCCGAGATTTGGAAGCAGCAGATGATTGACCAGCTCGAGCATCGCGTGGAGAACCTTGACAATGATGAGGTCGCTGCTGCTATGAATGCTATCCGCAAGATGAGCTTTGACGACGTGCAGAAACTCTTCACGAAGCAGAATTACGAGAGTGACCAGCATCGAATGAAGGACTTCCAGGAGAAGTTTGGTTCCGCTGCGGAGGCTTTGCTAGGAGGTGAGTCGTAGATGCGCTTTAGTGCCCGATGCTTCATAAATGTGTAAACGACGGCATGATTCTTGCCCGCACAGAGGACGCCTTGAGCATGACACCACGCCTGCTGCTGTAGCTATCCTGGAAAAGATACTTAACATCTACTAGTTATACCATGTCTAGCCTTACTATTCCCGTCACTACGTTGTTCACAGTGAAAGCAATTAGCATGCATTGTGGGTGGGTTGACAGCATGTGGCGGATTGACGAGAAATGTATCACTATAATGCATAAATGTAAACGAAGCGATGAAGAGAAGATACCCTTCCACTGACAGCGACTGTCTTCTATCATTGCTATCAAAGTAGATGTTGCTCCATCAGAGTGCGCAAGTTCAGTGAGACAGACCTTGTCGTCGGCGATATTGCTAATCGTTAGTGGCCCGTGCAAGAACCTCCGCCTTCTCCAACGCCGATGACCCGTTGTGCCGTCTCGACTTTCGGGTTATTCCCGGACATTGACTATGAAGGTCTCCTGCGAAGTCGGTAGTTGTCTGTATTCCTCTCTGTTCCTTTCTCCATCTCTTTCAAATTGTCAGACAATTCGGAGCTTGCAGTGAGCATCGACAACCTATCAAAATGGCAAAGAACTTCTTCTCCAGCAGCTTCCGTACAGCCATCCGTCTCGTGCCTTCATCTGTCACGAGAACTCCAGACTTATCGAGATGTGTACCCCAGCGGGCTTTCTCACTGACAGCGCGAAGGCCTTTGATGGAGACTTCAGGTTTCACTGAGGAACAGATGACAGTCCGCGACGCCATGTTCAAGATCTGCGCAGACTTTCCGGACGACTATTGGATGGAACACGACCAAACGGAGACTTACCCCCACGAGCTGCACGCTGCACTAGCTAAGGATGGCTGGATCGGCATCGCTCTCCCAGAAGACCTCGGTGGAGCTGGATTGGGAATCAGCGAGGCGACGATGATGCTCCAAACCATCGCCGAGTCCGGAGCCGGTCTAGCTGGCGCACAGAGTATTCACGCAAATGTCTATGCCACGCAACCTGTCTCCAAATTTGCCACTGCCGAGCAACGACCCAGATTCCTCAGTAAGATCGTTTCAGGGGAGTGGCGGACCTGCTTCGGCGTCACAGAACCCAACATAGGTCTTGACACCCTCAAGCTCCGCACGACCGCCACGCCAACATCGGATGGTAGCGGGTATACCGTCTCCGGCCAGAAGATCTGGATCTCGAGTGCTCAGGTGACCCAGAAGATGGTCTTGCTCGCTCGAATCACGCCGCTGGAAGAAGTCAAGAAGCCGAGTGAAGGTCTGTCGATGTTCTACATCGACTTTGATCTGTCTCAACCCGGTCTCGAAGCCAAGCGAATCAAGAAGATGGGCGGCAGAGCCGTAGATGCCAACCAAGTCTTCTTCGACAACTACTTCATCCCCAAGGACAGCCTGATCGGCGAAGAAGGGCAAGGCTTCAAGATCATCCTGCACGGCATGAATGCCGAACGCGCACTTCTGGCCGGCGAGTCACTTGGTCTAGGGTATGCTGCTCTCGGGAAGGCGTCAGCGTACGCTCGTGAAAGGATAGTCTTCGGTCGACCCATCGGTCAGAACCAAGCTATCCAACATCCTCTTGCGAGCGCGTACATGCATCTCGAAGCGGCCAAGCTGGCTACGTATCACGCAGCTCGGCTCTACGACCGATCGACACAGACAAACAAGGACTACGACCCGGGTATAACGCAGCATCAGGTAGGCGTCGCTTGCAATTCTGCAAAGTATCTCGCGGCAGAGGCCGCGTTCACGGCGTGCGAGAGGAGTGTGATGAGCATGGGTGGGATGGGCTATGCGGCCGAGTATCATGTCGAGCGGTATCTGCGGGAGTGCTTCGTCCCAAGAATTGCGCCTGTGAGCAGAGTGAGTAACACTGGTAATTTATAGGAGTGCCAGTATCCTGACAATACCACAGGAAATGATCATGAACTTCGTGGCTGAGAGGGTTTTGGGCATGCCGAGAAGCTATTGAGACTGGGGTAGACTGTGATATACCCTCGAAGTAGTGCCACGAAGTCCATCATCAAGCAGCCTATCTATCTCGAACGACCCGTATGCCGCCTTGGACCAGATCGATGTACGCAAAACAACACGGAATAGTAACTTCCTAACAAGCTTCGCTTTGGGTGAGAGCCGAATGCAGCAAATCCGACTTCTCCATCTCAAGGCCTCCAACCAGCTGTTCGGGAGTCGGGGACATTCGCCGGCCACCGCTGATGTAGTCATCAACTCGGAAGGACGGTTCGACATCAGTATTGTCAGTTACCTATGGCAAACCAATATGGGCGTACATGTACCTTAATCAAGATTCGAAAGCCGGTGAGTCTGGATTATCATGTACGAAATTAGCTCATTAGGTAGGGTCTCGTGGGCACCAAAGTCCGTCCAAACTTGGATAATGGTATCTTATGCTATGTTTATCGTCAGCCTGTGTGAGCTAGATCTCGCTAAAGATAACTAAACCTGTCAGCTAGTTGACTAACGTAATAACGACCAGTAAGAGGAACAGGAGCAGTTCAATCCCCCCTTTTGGATTTCCAGTTTCAGTCGCTCGACCAATTCTGGGAGTGAGCAATGGACTACCTCCCTATATTGTGAGCATAAGATCTGATCGACCATCAAAACCGGCACTCGTCCCTCCGACTCACCAGCTCGCACGCAGGAGCATTTCCTATCCTCAATAAATCCGCACGCGGCACTCGGCTTTGGGAGACTTCAAGATCCCCAACCCAGCTGATCTGATTCGCTTGAGGCGATCCCCTCACGCCCTTCCCATCCGCATCGCCTCCACCCTCACCGTCTCGGCTATCTCCTCCCTGAGACCCCTCCCGCGGGGCTCCCAACCCAGGAACTTCCTCGCGCGCGCCGCGATGCCCTTCGAGTTCGTGCCGAGCCGCGGGTCGTCGACCTCTTTCGTGACCGCCGCGCTGATGAAGCCCTGGCGCGCCGCCTCCTCGGCGACCCACCGCGCCACGTCGGACCAGCGGTGCGACCCGCTGGCGAGGAAGAAGTAGGCGCGCGGCCCGAAGATGTTGGCGTCGGAGTTGCGCGCTGGGTCGAGGGCGGCTTCGGTGGCTAGGACGAAGAAGGCGCCTAGGTCGTGGATGTGCACTGGGATTGAGGTTATAATTCATGGGTTGAGGTTCGCGGTGATGCTTGCTTGGGCTGAGATACGGGAGACAGGGGGGCAGAACAGGAAGTGTCATAGGCTTTTTTACAAGCAGCGGGCGTATAGGAGGGGACGAAGAGAGCACAAGACCAGGGACGTATTGGAATACAAGGAACTTACCGTGGTCCCATTCCGTAAGCCCTGGCGCTTGGATGGGCGCGAAGTTGTGCTCAAGTGTGGAGGCTGCAATACGCGGTACTTGCGCGCTGCGCTGGTTGACGGGCCCGCGGCCTCTGCCGTATATCGTGGGTGGGCTGACGACTATGGTGTTCATTCGTTGTCAGCACTTCATCCCTTGCCCTTGACTGCACTCCAAGGCACTTGCGGCGTCACTCATCAACGCCGCAAGGTGCACGACGAGTGAGCCCAGCCGCCTCAAGCCACGGGATATCCACAACTACAGTCGATCGTAACGAAAACGTGGGCAAGCCACTCACTTAACGTCCGAATCCCGCCCGCCTCGTTGGCCGCCAGTACGACCTCCTCAACGTCCCGATGGTTGGCCTCGTGCGGCAGCGTCACGATCCGCTCGATGTCGTCGATGTCATGGTACGTCTGCTCGGGCAGCGGCGCCTGTCCAAACCGCTGGTGCCGCTGGTCGTACCACTGCAGGATCCCCGTGCCGCACACGTGGATCCAGTACCCGGGCTTTGCGTCCGTGTGCCCGGCCGAAAGGCCCTTGGCAATAGCGTGCGCGGAGGGCATGTTGTCTGATGAGTCGGCCGTGTCTAGGGGTTTGAGTCGGTTAGTTTATTTTGTCTAGTAGGATAAAAATATGGCGAATGTGATTAGGAATGGGGTGCTTGGTGAGAGGTTCATGCTACATACGGATCACGACTTCGGCAGCGGCGGCCTCCTTCGCGATCACGTCGTCGTCGTCGAGGGTGCCGTAGACGAGCCGGAGATCCGGGTACTGCCTGGAGACCAGCTTGCCCCGTTCCTCGTCACGGACAAGCAAAGTATACTCATATTCCGGATGCGCCTGCGTCAGGAAATAGAGAGCTTCGCCGCCGATGTAGCCTGCGTGGGGTCCAGTTCAATTAGAGAGCCTGCAATATAAAATAACGACTGTAGGACTGGACAGGCCTAGAGCGTACCCGTCGCGCCGGTGCTTTGTAGAATTAGCAGCGGCCCACGGCTAAGCAGGTCTTTGCACCACTTACAGGAATAGTTTGGGCGCCATATCTTGGAGCTGAGTGGATGAAGTCTTGGTCACAAGTAGGGAGGAAGATGGGTGAAAGGTCGAGGAATGAGGTGCGAGAGGGCTGTTGCATGCGGGGTTCGATTTCAGGACAGAAGACTCGGCCCACACGGAGGAATATATTGCTTGGTGACAAACGGTATGTATGTCAGGTTGCGTGTAGGACTCGCCAATGAGATGCTCTATCGAGACCAACCCTCGCCCTTAATGTCTTCAGTCCATTGCGTCTGCTCAGTGACCAACAAACTCGTAGCAGTGCCATCCTCATCGAAAGCCTCTGGTCCTGGTGCTTCAGCGAGCCGATTTCCTCCATGATGACCCAGTTTTAGTTGTCTTACCAGGGTTGAAGGGGTGCAACTCAGTACAGCTTTGCGGTGTTGTATCGCTATGTCCTCTGAGATTAAGAATACTCTACTTGGGCAGCCACAACCGACAGGAAAGATTGGGGACTACCGCAGGAGTCACGAACCATTGACTCGGTGAACTGGACGCGGCCCTAGGAAATCTTGGTCTTCAGTAGGGGTGAAATGCTGCGAGATACACGCTTCCAGACAAGAGGCAGTCTAACAGACGAAAATCTTTATGGTACAACTAGTGTGCGGTATCGCAGTAACTGATACACTTCTATAATAGGGGTTTCCTGCAAGCCCAAGCCCAAGCCGCCGCTCATGGTCCGCTTACGAAAAGATTCGGCTCATGTCGTTTCTAATTCTCTGGTAATCGAGTAAACCTTCGATGCTGCCGACAGCACTGATAGCCACATCCTGGTCCCACAGTTTTCGGTTGGCAAAGTCCATTACGTGCTTCTCGGTGACTTGGTCGATGGTCCGCTCGATCTCGCCTGGGTTCATCCGGCGGCCAGTGGTGACGATTTGACGGCCAATATCCTCAGCGACGGCAGATGTGCTGTCAAGAGACAGGAGGATGGAAGCCTTCAGCTGTGCCTTTGCCCGCTCGACTTCGGCCTCGGTGACGTTCGTGCATAGTCGGGTCCACTCCCGTTGTGCGAAGTGGACAAGATCGTCCAGACGGCTAAGCTGGTCAGAAACCATGTAGATACCCCATAGTCTGTAATCATTAGCACTGAGGATTCGAAACTCCAGATACTAGGTGTAGCTTACCCAGTGTCGCTGTAGCTGGTGGAAAAGCTCATGAAGCTGTTGGCAAGGTTGTGTTGGTGAACAAACGACGCGAGCTTGCTACCTTGGTGAGGTGCGCTACCCATGGCCTTGTCAAAGTTGCCAACGATAGCTTGGGTGACCAGAGCAGTGAAGTAGTCGTCGTCGTTCCAGCTTACGCCTTCGACGGCAAGAGCAATGTGAGCGGAGCCGATAGTGTCGTCACGGATTCGTACTTCAGAGCCGATGAAGGTGGGCTTCTTCTTCGACAACAGGTAGGCTTCGTTGTGGGGGGACGAGGTAGGGAGACCAGAGAAGTTCTTTTCGGCGAGCTCAACGAGCTTCTCGTGGGGAACACCGCCAGCTCCGACAAGAACCATGCGGTCGGCTGTGTAGTTGTTCTTGATGTAGCCTGACAGCTCAGTTCGGGTGATGTCACGAATGTTCTCTCGGGGGCCTAGGATTGTTCGGCCCAGGGGCTGGTTCTGGTAAGCAGTGGCATGGAGGTGGTCGAAAACAACCTCGTCCATCTGCTTCTCAACCTCTTCGGATTCTCGGAGGATGACATCGCGTTCTCGTTCGATCGCGGAAGGCTCGAGCTTGGAGTTTTGTAGGATATCGGCGAGGATGTCAACGGACTGAGGTACGTCGGAGTTGAATGCTCTTGAGAAGTAAACGGTGTTTTCGCGCTAATCAGGGTCAGTCACGTCGGGCGATGGCGTCCGTGATCCTTTATTCACGCACCGAGGTGTAGGCGTTCAGGTGCCCGCCCATGTTCTCGATCTCGAGCTCCAATTGTTGCTGGGTCCGCTTCTGGGTGCCCTGAGAAGCCGTTAGAAAGGGGACATGATGTCGGTCTTGCCAGCGGATGTACCTTGAAGGCGAGATGTTCTAGGAAGTGCGCAGTTCCATTGGTCTCGTCCGTCTCGGCTCTCGAACCAGCGTCGATCCAAACTCCAACAGTCGAAGTCTGCGCCCAGGGCGAGTACTCGGTAGCGACCTAGAAACACCTGTCAGAGTCAAGTTCGGCAGACTCTCAATGGCACCAATTGAGCGCCGCGAAGAAGCTCACCGTCAAGCCATTCTTGAGTGTTGTGGTCTGGGTCTTCGCGCCGGTAGGGGGCGTCACCGGCGTGGCCAGGCCTCGCTTGAAGGACCGGATGGCAGGCGTGGCAGCGCGGCTGCGGAAACCCCGGGTGAGGTTCAATGCGAGTCTCCTAGACGCCATTGGTGCTGTGATGGGGGAGGGAGGCGGATTGAGGAGTGAGCGTTTTGATGGAAATCTTGCGAGCAGGAATACGGTCCGTTTCGCTGGAGCTCAAATTCTGAGTGTCCAATGTCATCAGCCACGTTATCAGCCACGTTTTCTCGAGCCTTCCGCTAAATCCCGTCCCGGCAGGTGGGTACTGATTCTGTGGCTGGTGCTTCTCCTGACATTCGACGGTGATCTGATAGGCTGATCGGGCGTACTTATGTGGGACACACCAGAGCTCCAGTTCCTGGTGAAAGCTACAAGCTCCAAGCTCATCGTGACACTTCGACCAACGCCTTCAGCTCCCGGATAAGACGTGGCACTCGACGTAATCATTGAACAAGTGCCAAATCCGACTCGAATTCAGCAGCATATACCTTAGGTCAAGGTCGTCAGAATATACGAACTCGACACCAGCCGCGCTCCGGTGCTGACGATGTGCGCAAGAGTGTCGATCTATCCACCCCTGGGACAGGTCACCCAGCTCAAACACACTCACGTGTCCTTCTTCGCTGTACTAGATGTTGATGCAAAGGACGCGGAAGAGCAATGGGATGTCGCGATATGGCATTCGTCCGACGGGAAGGGTTGGGATGAGACGCTGATGTCACCTGCCTCTGTCCGGGCTTCACCTACGTCATTACAGCATACCAGTCCCTCTAACAGACGCGTTCACTTGAGCGCCGAACTTACCGTTCTGTCATCCCTCAACTTCACTGTCAAGTTCCGTAATGGCCGCGATGACCCATGGAGATGGGCACGCGAGGCAGAAGGCATAGATGATGGTGTGATACTGATCAACCCAGAGAACAAGCGACGTCGTTGGGCGGACAGCCTCCCACATATCATTCATGGTCTGAATCCGAAATTGACGGTCAAGTCAGTGGCTAGCCAGGCGCCGCGCACTCAGTTGTGGACAATAGAGGCTGCCATAGGCCCAGCTGACGATCATAACTCGGCGTATGTTGACATGGAGCTTGGTACTCCATGGGGCGGATTCTTGCGGTAAGCAGAAGCAATCTTTGAAACAGCCCAACAAGTGTTCTAGGTGACCCGGCCTGGGTCCAGTAGGAACATCAGGAATATGCGATACATCCCTCTTGATGACCAGGACCTTTAAGCGCAGGTCGAAAACTCTGCATATGCACCCGGCATGTCTTCGTCTTGGCCACAGCATGTGTACCGACGTACCCAAGATGGCCTTGATCTATTAAACATTCTCAGATTCGGACGAAGCTCTGACGATTTATAGATATTTAGCGCTTGTCCGTCATGCCTCGCCGTGGTTAGGTCCCAGACACGGCAAAACCAACTTCTGTATTGACAAAGATGCTGTTATGTGCTCGTTTTTGAGTTCTGAAGGGAGACATTTGGTACTACTAGGTTTCAGTGGTCTTGATAATGTCATGACCCTCTTCCGAAGCTCGTCTTCGGGCCCAGTCATGCTTCACGTACGTTCAGCCAACCTCGATTCGGTTATTATACACTCACACAAATCACAGATACGCAGTGACCATGATACAGAATCAACAGGCCTCGTCCTCGCAGCAGTCGGAGACAGCTTCGAGAGTGCAATGGCGGCAGTCATGTATCACGCGAGAACTGTGGCCATGGCCACGTCTAGCAGCGATGATAGCCTATCTAGAGAACTTCAAACACTGAGTGATGACGTCAGACCCGAGTGGATGGAGAACTGGTATGATGGACTGGGTTATTGTGAGGTTCTCCTGTTCATGCCGTTGTTAGCTTGCCTAACTCGTAAACAGGTACTTGGAATGCGCTGGGCCAAGATCTGACTGAAGACAAGCTTGTCAGTGCGGTTGACGTTTTAGCCAAGAACAACATACATATAAGTAGCCTTATCATAGACGATAATTGGCAGGATATCGACCACAGTGGACAAGATCAATACCAGCGTGGCTGGAAGAGCTTTGAAGCCGAACCTACAGCATTCCCCAGCGGACTCAAGCACACGGTCTCTCAGATCCGCTCAAAGTGTCCGAGTATCAAGCATATCGCTGTATGGCATGCATTACTCGGGTACTGGGGAGGCATTTCGCCTGATGGAAATCTTGCGAAACGGTATAAGACTGTGGAGCTCGAACGGGACGGCTCTAACCTCGATGGACCAATGACTGTCATTGCGAACAAAGACGTTCGGCGGTTCTACGACGACTTCTACCGATTTCTATCTGACTGTGGCATTGAAGGTGTCAAGACTGATGTTCAGTACATGCTGGACACCTGGGTCTCGGCCAAACAACGTCGAGAACTCACGAACACGTACCTCGATGCCTGGGCCATATCAGCACTGAGACACTTCAGTATCAAAGCTATCTCATGCATGTCGCAGGCACCACAGGTTTTGTTCCACCAACAACTACCACGCAACAGGCCAGTTATGCTCGTGCGGAACTCGGACGATTTCTTCCCTGAAGTACCTGCTTCTCATCCGTGGCATCTTTGGGCCAATGCGCACAATACTCTTCTCACTCAACACCTGAACATCCTGCCAGACTGGGATATGTTCCAGACGGATCACGAGTTCGCCGGCTATCACGCTGCGGCGCGCTGTGTCAGTGGTGGCCCAATCTACATCACGGATACTCCGGGGCATCACAACCTCGACTTGATCAACCAGATGACAGGAGTGACTCCTCGTGGAAAGACTGTGATCTTCCGACCGAGTGTGCTGGGGAAGACAATCAACCAATATACTGGTTACGACGAAGACTCGATACTCAAGGTTGGAAGCTACCACGGCAAAGCTGTGACTGGAACCCCTATCCTCGCCGTGTTCAACACCAGGCAGCGAAGCCTGACGGAAATCATTCCCATTTCATGGATTCCGGGTGTGATCCCGTCAATGAAGTACGTCGTACGGGCACACAATAGCGGTATGGTCACTGGTGTCGCCCAGCCGGGCTCGCCCGTCGCACATTTGACGGTGTCGCTGGACGTTCGTGGCTACGACATTTTCACCGCGTTCGCAGTCACCCAATTCGATAGCGAGACGAATGGCCGCATATTCACAGCCAACCTCGGACTTGTTGGCAAGATGACGGGTGCAGCTGCCATCATGTCAACCCATCTCGAGCTACTCCACACCGGGAAGGTATTGTTGGATATGCGATTGAAGGCGCTCGGAACCCTGGGTCAGTCCTCCTCCAAGCATTAGCCTAGACCAGTCACTAACATTACTCGCAGGGCTCTACATCTCAAGTCTTCCTGATATGTCGATTGAGCGCGACTTCATGGTCACAATCCAAGGCCAGCCAATCCCGCCGCATACCGTGACTGTCAATACATCCGACAGGCATGTGCTAGATGTCGATGTCGAGACGGCGTGGAATGAGATGGGTCTCAAGGCTGGCTGGAACAACGAGGTTGAGGTCAAGGCCTACTTCGATATCGAGCATCCTTGATTATATGAATGGCGTACCGCAATGAAGGCTGGAAGGGCTTGGAAGAACACTCAGTCACTCAGTTCGATCGCATACCACCGTAACATGAATTACATCTCCAGCTTTTTGTTCGCCTCTATACGGCGCGAGCCAGGCGTATTGCGACCATTCGCTGGAACACATTTCAACCTTCATCTGGCCAGAGTTTCTATCTACGATACCCGACGGTTGCCTTGCCTGCGCAGGTGCTTGTGGTCTTGCGAATAAGGGTGGGGACGTCGTTGCTACACCGCCCGATAGCTTCAATGACGATCCTGGGCCGAAGGTTGGGTTTTAATCCTGTCGGATGTGGCGGTGTCCATAACCGTGGGCTCAAGGGTGATGTGCCTTGCTCTCGCATGAAATCGGGAACATTCATTGGATGCCGTGGCTGTATTTGTGGAACGCTTATTTGGTCTGCCTATGCTCCCTGGTTCGCGTGGCGTGGTTCATCGATAAGTTCCGTGTTGCTCCTTGTGGTCATGCACCAGCAGATCACGATACCACTGACTTATTTCAACTTCATATATAGCAGCCCAACCTGTCCGCCTGTCCAACATCACCCAGATTATTGATGACCTACAGGACTGTCGACAAGAAGTACAGTCACAATGCCGGTCTACACCTTGCCAGCATTTCTTCTCACGTTACTAGTGAGCTCCATTGTCATTGCGGAGCCTATTGCGACATTCGAAGGTAGCAAAGTCACGTACCAGGGCATGACTAAAGGCACCGTAGAGCATTTCCTGAATATCAGATACGCCCACGACACGTCTGGCCTGCGGCGCTTCGCTCCTCCAGAACCGTACACCCCACCGGAGGGAAGCGAGATTGCTGCCACAGAAGCCGGGCCAGCATGTCCGCAAACCCAAACAGCACTGCCCCCATTCTTTGACGAGACTCCGTGGATCAGCGAGGACTGCCTCAACCTCCGGATTTCCAGACCGGCTGGAACCAGTGCGGGAGATAAACTCCCCGTGGTCGTCTGGGTCCAAGGTGGCGGAGTGGTCAAGGGCTCCGCGTACGACTCTCATTCGGAACCAGACAATCTGATCGCACTTTCGGAAGAGCTCAAGAAGCCCGTGATATATGTGACGTTTAATTACCGTCTCACGATCTTCGGCTTTGCCCGGCTCCCGATCTTGAAAGACCAGCAGTCATTAAACGCGGGCATGCGGGATCAGAGAACGGCGTTCGAATGGGTCAAGGATAACATCGCAGCATTTGGCGGCGACCCCAATCGCGTCGCCCTCTTCGGTCTGAGTTCCGGTGGTACCTTCTCTTCGCTATAGCTGCTGGCGTATGGCGGCGAGAAAGGGGTCCCATTTTCGCGTGTCTGGGCAATGTCTGGACCGCCTGGGACTGCCCTCAATGTCACGTCAGACGCGACCGATGCACACACCCGTGCTGTTGCCGAGAAACTGGAATGCGGTACCGGGAGTGACGAAAAGACTCTCAAATGCTTGAGAGGCTTGTCCATGGAGACGCTGTTAGAAGCGGCAATGGAGCACTCGGTGAACAATCACCCGCCCAATGGACTCTTTACTTTCATTCCTTCGGTCGACGGCGACTTCATACCAGATCGGCACTCGGTATTGTACAAGGCGGGTAGATTCGCGAAAGGTATGAACGAAAGATTTGGACGCTGCCTTCAGTACTAACCGAGCCGAAGGAATTCCGATAGTCTACGGCTGGACCCATGACGACGGAAGCGGCAATGCCGGGCCTCCCTCGAATTTCCAGACAGAGGAGGACATGAAGGGTGCCTTCAAAACCTTTGTCCACGCTCTCACCGACGATGACTACACAAAGCTCTTCTCTCTCTACCCTGCATCCGACTTCGAAGAAGAATCCAGCAACTACGAACTCACCAGAAGAGAGTCGGATCCTCCCGTGCCTATCCCCTTCTTCCGCGTCTCCCGCATCCTTCGGGATCTCCTATTCTCCTGCACCTCAGTCGGCTTCGGGTACGAGATGTCACGCCAGTCCAAGGCGCTAGACCCTTCGTTCCCGGGGGTCCGCCTGTACGACTTGAACCAGAGCATGCTAACCCCGATGATTGCCGCCATTGGCATGCCATACATGGGTGCCTGCCACGGGAGCGACTCGCACTACATCCTCAACGGCCTGTTCCCCGAAGGCGAGGTATCGGAGTCGGACCAGATACTGTCCAGGTCGATGGCCGGTTCCTTCATCAACTTCGCGTACAACGGGGATCCGGCCTTTGCAGGAGACGAACACCTCGACTCTTGGCCTGAATCCTTCCCGGAACCCGGTCATCCTGGCGCACCTCTGCCCCCGGCCGTCAACGTACAACTATCGGCGGTCCTCTGGGCACGGGATCTGGCGCTTTGAGGGCCAACGGCGAGGATGCCGACTCGGGTATGCTGGCTGGGATCGCGCAGGACACTATGGGTCAGGGGGTAAAATATGCAGAGATGGGATCCGCGAAGTCTCAGGCAAGACAGCGAGCGATTGAGCGCCAGAAGCTGCTGGAGCGATGCGCATACATTGACACGCTTTCTGAGAAGCTTGGTATCTGATGGCGCAGGATGCTAAATCAGGCACCGTCAGACCTAGAGGCTGGCAGACGACCATCCTGGGCTACTAGCTTGCGCAAACAGCATATAGTGGTGGGCTACGAATATGAGTTGATAAAAGTCTGCTGTCGTACGAGTATTGCCTGAACACCAGCATCGCGTCACGCTATGTTCCCCGAACTTGTGACCAACCTGGCCATCCACATTGCGCTCTTTTTGCAAGAGACCATCTAGCACAGTTCTTACCCAACTTACTTTATTCAGGAGCAGGAGCAACGACCAATACGCAGTCCTGACATCCCTCGGTGTATCGCCGTATACTCCGAACCTCAAAGCCTGCATCGCCAAGCAGCGTCCTCCATTCGAACTCGGAGCGCTCCTTCGCGGCTAGGCAGGTCATCATTGCCATATCCAGCTGTGTCGCCTGCCACGGAGCATCACGCTTAGACAGAACCATCTCGTCGATCAAGAGGACCGACTCGTCGGTCATGCCAGCTCTGATGTTTTGTAGGATTTCTTTGCACTTGTGGTCGGGCCAGTCGTGGAGGATGTTGCGCAGGTAGTAAGCACGAGCACCTGTAGATAATGTCAGACTCCGCAAGCATATCCTAGAACTACATCGAATGGTTTTGAATATACTGCATTTCCCGATCTTCAACATGTCACACGCGTTATCTTCCACTGGAGATGGTCTGAAGGGGTATGAAGAAACCCACATGACTGGAGCCTTGGAAATGCACCTTTGATGGGTTGGGGAGTGAAGAAGTCGTAAGGCTGGGCTTCAATGCCCTCAAAGCCTGGCAAAGGTGCCGTCTTCACCTGCCCGATGACGTGCGGTTGCTCCTGGAGGATGATGCGACCAGACATATCCGGAAATCGTTGCCTCAAGGCAACACACTGATGACCCATTGCGCCGCCAACGTCCACGAACACTGGTGTCGATTCAGTCGCCCCTTGAGCAAACTCCCGCTGAAAGTTGACCACATCAAGGAAGATTGGCAGACCCTCACGCTAGGCAGCCATCCATGGGAGGAAGTATCCGAAGTGCTCCGGATGAGTCTGCAGCCAAGGGAATGGCGATAGATCGGTGCGGTGACCTAGGTGCCAAGGGCAGTGGTTGGGGTCGGTGGGATTGCGATATCCGTTCTCGCGGAGGAAGCTTGGGAAGGCCATGAATGACGGAGATACCATCTCGAAGCTGCCATGGACGAAGATTGTCTGTTAGGAAGACCTCTTCATGGGACCTTATGAGACAAGGTACTGACAAGTAGTTGATCCCGGATTGACCCCCAGTCGATGCAAGAGCTTTGGTGATATTGTTGGAGCTGTAGCTGTCGTCACTCGGCTGGGACAGCATTCCACACGATTGATAATAGCGTAAAAGCCTCTCTGCGGCGTGATCAGCTGTCGAACTCAGTATGTGACACCCATGGAAACGCACTCATCAGAACAGGATCGACATTCGTTTTGCTAGCGAGCTCTCCATTGGTGAAGACGGACCCCTCGGCTTCGGCCATGATCTCAAACAGATGAGTCTCAACTCCAATGCGATCAATGGCAAGCTGTAATGGCTATAATCAAAGTCAGTTGACACGATATCTACTAGAATCTGGTTTGCAGTCGTGCAAAGCTGACAGTGTTACTGATCCGGTGGATAGTGTCCCCAGGAGCCTCCATCAAAAGCGACAACTTCAGTCCCCCCTCGCGAAGCCTGCGCCGAGTGTCATCATCGAGGGCGGCACCGGAGACGTGCGGATCGTTTATTAGCGACTCAAGCCTGTCGGCTATCGCCTTCGCTTCGTCCACGCTAATCGCCATATCGGCGCGGAGTTGAATCCAAGGCGGAATGTAGAGGGTATATGGAGCAAGTTAGAGCCTGTGTGTTACTGGTAAATGATTCAGGAGGGCAAGGGGAACAACGAAGAAACCCAAGAACAGCCCAATGCCGAAAGTACTGGTTGCGCGCTCAACGTGGGTACTGTTACGTGAGTCCAACCCGCAGATGAAGAAATTAGTTGGCACTATGCATATGCACGCACAACCAATAACACAATGGTCAAAAGACAGGGCGCAAACGACCCGACGATCTGGTTGCTGCCCTGCCAGGCACGCGGCACACCTAATGCATGGGTCACGTTGTTGGTGCAAAGAGAGCACAGCCTCACTCCATGGACATGGGACAGAGCGGGATGGCAGCACACGACCAAGGAGAGGAAAGCATTGGGGTGTGATAACAGGCCGCCTACTTTAACGAGCGCAATTGGTTTAGGTTGCTCCGACTCACAAGGCTACCAGAATTCCTAACAGTGTCTTCATGTTCGTTCCGCTCTCCAGCCACCAAATCCAGTTCGGGTGAAAAAACACCCCTTGGATGTGCCCGCAAAGCTGCCGATAAACGTGAGCCGTACTGGCCTGCCCCCAAAATATGACTTATTCCGTATTCCACGCTGATAGGTTCAGGTTGCACCTCCGCTTGCCATGGCCTAACTGCAGGATCGCGCGGCTCGCCTTCTAACAAGTCATGGCCTGCGTGTGAAGCCAAACAGTCCACACTTGTATCCGAAACAGAATTCACGGAACCCTCCCAAGACGTCGGAGAAAACAAGGAACATACATACATACCTAGACAGCAGTAAGTGGTCGCAACTAGGAGACGAATCCAGGACCTCTGGCAAACAGACTTAGATTTTCCTAAAAAGACATCGGAAGAAAAAGATTGAACAAAATGAAGGGTCTGACCGGGATTTGAACCCGGGGCCTCTCGCAAATTTTAACCATTTGTGCATCAGGGTGAACCCTAAGCGAGAATCATACCACTAGACCATCAGACCTTGATGATTGGTCATTGATTCCGCACATGAGTCGCACTGTGGGAATCTGCCGTGGAATCCGGCAGTTTTAGTCCAGATTATATTTAGACAGAATATGTGCTTGAGTGGATGAAAGAGCGGTACAGGTTAATATGTTCGTATTCGTTAAACCAAGATACCACATATAACGTCGTGTTTGATACGCGTCTCCTACCGTTGCAAGGCATATCCCGGTGCCACCCGCGCCTCCCACTCCGCCGTGCTGGGCACCAGACGGATGTCGTGCAAGTGGGTCGCTTCCCGCACGTCCAAGAGACCACACTCGACATTCTTTTCGAGGGCAGTGCGCACGAAGTCGACCGCTGCTGCGGATGGGGAAATATCGTCTCGCCTTCCTTGTATCTCGATTGTGGGTGTCATGTAGTCGCCCGAGTGGATACGTTCCGAAGGACTGATGGCTGCTACGCGCTCCGGAGATGGCGATACTTGCAAGTAGCTCCCAACATCATCATTGCATCACTAGAGATAGCACGGTCGTCCAAGAACAGTGAGAGCCCGTGTCCACTGTTGAAGAGCCACGATAGGAGGGGGGCGTTGAGGAGCTTTCAACAGCTTTGGACAACCCCAAAGAGCTGAAGATCATCTCCGAGATTGAGCCTCCCAGCCGAAGGCGTCAGCTGCCAATTGCAGAAAACCATCTTGTTGGACATGAGGTAGCGGCATCGCGCCAGAAGAATGAACCATCACATACTATGCGACGTTATGTACCTCGTGGGCTGTTGCATGTAATAGGGGAAGGGTGATTGTCCCAGGAACGGGTCAACCCCGCCCTTCAGCCGCTGGAAACGCTCAAGCGAGTGTCGATGGAGATCCAGCAGGTTGATGCTCTTTGACCGAGCCTCCTTCTCGAGCTCCTCTGTCAAGCGGTTGATGATATCACCGATGGCAAAGGGTTAGGCGCTTGTCAGGCGGACGGTCTAGTCCAAGCAATCTGTACATCTCCGGGTTCTTCAGAGCATGGCCCCGGTGGTTATCCGGGAGTGCGAGGGCCAGCACGTCAGACACAGGTGTCGTGTGCTTCACTTGCCGTTGACGCCGCGTGGTGCCATTGGTCGCGACCCGCTGGTTGATGCGCCGACCTTGGCTCCATACCGTCGCAGAGGCGCCCGTCTCAAGAAAGTAGTGTCTCAGGCGACGCTGCGCTACCAATTCAACAGCGGCAGTAGAGCCAGCTCCACCTTCTGAAGTTTCAGTAGGCCCGACGAGCAAGCTGTTGTGGGGCTGGGTGTCGAGTAGCTTGTCCATCTCTGTCCATTGCGCGTCCACGAAAAAGGTTTCCGCGCATGCTCGATAGAGATGTGCCGCCCTAAATATGGCACCAGACGCATTGACGAAGTCAACGGAGATCCGATGAAACTGAGATTCAATGGAGAACAAGATAAGTCCGCAGAGTATGGGCTGATGTCGGTACATATTGTACTTGGACAGTTTCCAACGGTGCTTCTGTCGAGCTCTATGGACTGGATCGCGAAAGACCTTCTCCTCGATCTCTCCCTGAATAGCTCCGAAGGCCTTTTCATCTGTCCCTGATCATTTCGGTGCCATTGTCGGTGCTCTGAAGTTCTTGGTACGGGTGATACCGTCGGAGATTCTTCTAGATCGGTTGTCTAGGTCAAATATGGGCGGGCGATTTCATTATTCAGAAGCTCTGCAACTTCGGCCATGACGCTCTTGGTCACAACTAGATCGAAGGCAGAGCCATACCGAAAAGAACGAAAGAAATGAAACTGAAGTATCACAGGACTAGAAAGCGTTTGTATTAGGTCTTTACATGTCTGCTTGTACTTGACAGGATTCTGATCGAGAAGTCTGCGTCCGTTATATACGGTTGGGACCTGGGCCAAGGCCCTGCCCTGCCGCACGCAGTATCTGAGTGTGTTTGGGGGTAAATGGCGGTCATGAAATGGAAACGCAAGCAGACATACTTGATTGAGTTGTCGTGACATTTTCATATGCACTCGCCCTGCAACCAAAGGAAACCTATCATAAGGGAACTTAAACCTCCTTTACTCAATAAGCCCATTGGTCCAGTTGAACAGCCGGGGTTAGATATTTCCATCAGTGTTAAATCACTAATTCTCCTCAAATGCCTATCCATCGTCAAGCCAGGTGTAGCTACATTTCTACGTCCTGTGGATTTTGCACTCGAGCAATCCTGTCTTCGTTGTCGGCCATGAGAAAACGCCCTTCAAAGAGGTAATGTTACGTCACAATTCTAATCGAAGCCGGTACATTCGTATGACAAAGCAAGTTGCGTGCTGCTAAAAGCTGAATCCCCCTATCAGTTATTGATCATCCCACAATCTCGAGAAATTTGTGTCCCTCCGAGAGACGCTGTCCCTCCAGCAGAAACTCTGATCAAGACTCAAGGCCCAGGAGGCCGTATCTACCACCAACCAGCTGGTGCCAGTGCCATATGCCGCCCTTTGCCATTGAAACCCGGAGTCTGGGACTGAGCCACCCGGTCTGCACTGGCCTGTTGCACTCTGTTGTTCCATGTCGGTGTGAGCCGCAGTGCATAATGAGCCCAGAGCCGAGGGAGGAACTGTACGTCCTGAACACAATAGATCCGAATTGCCTCGGCAAGTGGGCGATCGCTGAATACTCTGTAACTACCACCGCGCTGGGGGGCGAAGAGTGTCAATCCCCTCTCCTTAGCTGACTTCCAGGAGGCCTTCTCAATGGGCGTCAAGAGTGCATCGTTCTCGATGCTTCGAGTGAGACCGTTGACGCATTTCTTGCTGCGTCCGCCCAGTCGAGCAGCTAGTTCCATCAGTTGGAGGTCCTGTACGCCGGTGAGCTTGACCTGGAAGTGAGAGTACAATGCATCCGAGTCATTCCGGACGTCGAAGAAGACCTTTGGGATAGTTTCGGACTCTAGAATGTCCTTGAACGTGTGGCCCTTGGTCCCGGGAGTGTTGAAAGCCTCGTGCTTAAGAGCCGTGATGTCGATGAGGTATGTTCGAAGGGTAGGAAGTACATGCTGCTGAAGAAGTGCAACGTTTCCGTGTCTAGAAAGGTTTTCTCCCTCGAGATCGATATAGAGTGAAGATGGTGTCGCTGGTAGCGGTTCGAGTGCATTTAGCATCTCTTCTAGGGCTTCCGTTGTATCGATAAAAGCGTAGCTCCCCATAGATTGATCGAGAAATGAAGCCTGCATGTTCCCAGAAACGACTGCCGTGCCTTGGCCAGAGGTTGGGCATACCACAGGCGTAGAGGGCCATGGTGGTCTGTGAGCTCACAACATTGCCACATTAGATCGTGAGCCTGTAACATTGGACAACAGGATGCGACGGACTTACATGGTATTGAGGTGGATTGACAAGATGTAATTAGAACCGATAAATGCCAATTTCCGAACAGAATTGGTACGAACGCCTCGATTTCGACTATCTTGTGACCCTTTTAGTTCCTTCCCGTCGCACACACTGACCTGTCTGCTGCTGTAAGCTCGGAAGGGGCAAAAGTGATGTATTGGTCTAAATGTGATCGGGCTAGATGACCTGCAGAGATCACCTCATACATGGAGCAATGGCTCTGTGTCTCACCAAGCCAGGGAGCTCTAGATGAAGGGTAGACCCTGTCTCATGAAGCCAGAGAGCCCTGAACCACCACTTTGCGACACTTGCCTTTCAACCGAACCAGGTTTCATCAGAGACAGTCGCAGATTGAGCATGGTCTTACTCGGAATGAGAACCCGGAAGCAAGAATTGGAGGAACCATTTCAATTCGGGTGCGAATGTATTGCTGGATGTACACGTAGCCTATAACTAGACCTCTGTGGCTCGCTCAGAACAGCTCACGAAATATGTTGCAGTGAAACTACAGCACTTATCTACTACATTCACTGCAGGAAATTGCGCTGGAGATGGGTCCTTGGAAGTATCACTGCCAGGTAATGGACCTGCATATCGGCGTGTGACGCATCGGCCTGAGCCTGTGGACGCCATCCGTGGTTAAGGTTTTGTTGGATTGAGATGATTTGTGGCGTTTTATTTTGATAGACTTAGCGTACAGCACGGGGGCTCTGCTTTTATTGTCTTTTGGGGTATTTGGGTTTGGCTCTTCCTTTCGGTCGAAGAGCTTAAAAAACAGTAACAAATCGTAATGGACCTGCATTAAAAATACTTTTCTCTTCTACGTCCAGGACTGTTGTGCAGGCCGCTTCCCTCCTCGAGAATTACCGCCATAGAGGCTTGCACCAGTTCCAATGGGGGTAGCCCTTCATCGAACTTTGTTTTGCGCTGGATACAATAAATTGAGCGAGTTCTGAAGAGGCCTATTGCCTTCTATCTTGTCGTCGGGCATCATGTGGTGTATTGTTCGCCGAAATACCTTCAAACCAACCCATTCGAAAGTCTCGGTGGAGGTATGGACAGTTTCGATCTTTTCGTATGTACCGTCGTCTGCCAACCTGGGCCCTTGCGTCGTTAAGGGGTGGCCGCCGTGACCCGTCAGCCCGAAATCCGTCGAGCACATGACCCGGTACTAGGTCTACGTCGCTTAAATCCTCAACTCCCACCGAAGAGGTCACCAAGATGCGCAATGTTTGACGCCCAGTTGTATAAATGCCCAGACAGGGCTGGATTGGGGACAAATCCGTTGTTGGAATTTGCGGCCTGAAAGTTCATGGTGCAGGAATTGCCGTCGTGCGCGGCACACGAGCGGCCCTGCACTTTGACTTTGAAGAGGATCTGTGATGGTCGACAAGAAAGAGGAAAGGGTGTAGGCCCGATTGGGCTGGAGAAAGTGGCCGAGTCAGTGCTGGAATGTTTAAATGTTGTGAGAGCGAGTGGTGTGTGTGGGGAAGCAAATCACCGAGTAAGTCTATTTTCAAGGCTGATTTACAAATGCGTATTTCCTTCGTGACGCGCGCCGTTTTCACCTCAGGTACTCCTCTCCTTGCAAAATCAGGATTTCTGCCAAAGCAGCCAGCCCGGGTTTCAGGGGCGTAGCCCGTGCGCAAAAAAGAGAAGAAGGACAGAATCTCCTGTAGCAAGTATATATCCTCTTCTAGACATATCGCCGTCCTGACCTACCCTGGTTCATGAAACTTCCTTATGCAAGAACTGACGCAATGCGCGTACACCAAGCACCTCACTCCATCGGTGAGGGACAGTGTGACCATCCCAGAGCGCCCACCCATACACCTCACCAGCTGAAGCCTCCACAGAAGCTACGAAACCCGCATCATAATGGATACGTGGAAGATCATCATCATCACCCTCGCCGCCATCATTACGATCCTGGCATTAGGCGCACTGCTATGGCTGTGCATTACGCTGCTGGTATTCTACCTGGTTATGCTGAACATAGACGTCGTCTTCACCGGGGGGCCGTGGCGGCTCACGGCGCCCAGCACGCGGCCCAGACGCAGAAGAGTCAAAAGCCAGTGATGTACTACAATTGATAAGACTAGATAGCCCATAGATAACTTGGCTTTGATGTGTTGAACGCCCTCTGCGTGATGTGAGACATGCATATCCCCTCACAGAAACCCCCAGCCAATCTCGGTACCGCGCTGTCGGGTACAACCCCTGCATCGCAGGCGCGTCGAAGATAGCGAACCTCAGAATTGCTTTTTCTGCGACGACGCGATGACTGTTCTTAATCAAGCTGCTGCCTGCTCTCAACTCATGTCGATAGCACTTGAGTTTTCTTTCAATAAATGTCTTTGTCAAGTTGATTACTTTTTCGAAGGAAAACATATCAGCTGTCTAAGCAGCAGACCACCAACCCTGCGCCCGCAGCCGATGGTAACGATGATCCTCACTAACCCAGCGCTCCTGCACTACAAGCGCATGACCGGCCTCCAAGAGTACCTCCGGCAGCGCATCCTCGACTCCCGAGCCTCGTCTCCCAGCACAGCATCCCCTTCCGCACCCCTTGCCCCAGCAAGCACACTCTTCATCTTCGAGCCAGCCCCCGTGTACATGCTCGGACGATCCGCCGCCACATTTGACAGCACCAAAACCGCCGAGCCCTGGTGGACGCTCGTCACTTCAGTTATGCGGAAGACCAGCTATCTTAGCCGCGCGCAGGAAGCGATACTCACCGACGAGCTGAAGATCTGGTCGCGCCGCACCAAGCGCGACGACGACAGCGAGAGCGCAAGCACGAGTCCCGGCCCCGGTGCCCGAGGCGCGCGGGGAAAAGCCAGGCAGGACAGCACCGCCACCGAATTCAAGGCCGAGGCCGACCTCACCGAGTGCGAGGACCGCCAGCTAAGCACGTACTACGGGCCCGGCCAGGAGGTAATATAGCCGGTGCTCGACCTGCAGGCGCCTCAGTTCGCACACCTAGGAAAAGTCCAGCTGGAGCGCGCGCTAGCATCCGCTACCATAACAGTCCTGTCGAGGAAGGGCGTACAGGGCGCGAAGTACCGGCCGGAGACGGGTGTCTGGGTCCCCAGCAGGCAGTTCCGGGACCCGCAGGAGCGGCAGATCGCAGATGTGCATGTCGAGGTGCGGGGCGGGATCGCGAGCTGTGGTGTCTCGCTTAATGTGGAGACGCCTGTTTCGGGACCAAGAGAGCCGAACCCCTGGGCCGGATGGCGGAGGCGGGCGTTCCCTATTATCCCGTCACGAGCGTGGCGGCTGAGCTGGGGGATCTGGGGCATGTGCTGGGGAGGCGGTCGGAAGGGTGGCTTGCTGAGATCATGGGGCCGTTGGCCAGGGGTGTGGAGAGGGAGTTGGGACTGCACAGGCCGAAGTGGGTAGATCTCGAGGAGGCGTTCGGGGAGGACTGGAGGCAAATAGGGGCGGAAGGGGGTGGGGGTGGGTGGTGGATTCCTATCCCTCTTCTTGATATCGGATTCTAGAGGGGAACGTGACGCAGATCCAGGGAATATGCGTTGTGAGGTGGCTGCTACATGCATCGCGTCGCCCAGGTATGTCTACAACGTGACAGGTTAGTTATATGGCAAGATAAAAGCAAAACTGTCACCAAATGAGGCTGACTATGTCTCGGCTAATAGGGTGTGAATTGGCTTAGTTACTCGAATACAGGGCAGGCACATTAGAGATGTAGGTTTGCTCCGAACTCTTTTTGTAGCAGGTGGAGGGTTTGATCTTGACCGGAAGCACTTTATTATTGTCGTTCCCTTTTTTCACAAGCATTCCGTCATTCTTTTCCTGTTTTCCTCGGCACCTTGCGTATGTGTAATAAAGGTAGGTTGCAGGCCTAACCGCGATGGAATTATACGACTTATATGATTGCCGCTTCCTCCCTTGGTGTGGCAGGCCGCGGCAGCGCCCATATCTAAGGACTTGAGGGTTTTTGAGCCTGATAGTACAGTAGCATCTAATTCGATTAAAGCCGCGGTCTTTGCTGGTGTAAAGGGGCTCTTGTATCTTCGAGGTGACCAAAGAGGATGTCATCGAAGCATATCCCGTGATAGCAGTATCCTACGGGCTAAGAACTCTGAGACGGCCTTCCTACCCTCTCCTCTAAACATTGCATCATTGTGGAACGCCCCTGCAACAGCTTTCCTACTCACAGGTAGTCCAACCTCGATGCATCTGTCGTACAACCCCTGGCTGAGCTCAGCAGGAACCAGCTCGTCTTTCGCTGCCTGTAGAATGAAAATTTCCGGTGAGGTGTTATCCGACTTCTGCTTCTCTACAAGGGTCCCTAGGTTCTTCCAACTATCAAGCTGACTGCGGAGAAAGGGCCAGAGATATTTGTACGGAAGCCACTTTTGCGGGTAGAGGACCTCGAGCATGGCCCGGATTGAGGTGAATGGAGTCTCGAGGATCAGCGAATCCAGACGCACATTTCCAGGCATCGAGTTCTCGGCCGCCAGGTTGGTAGCGACACCCGAGCCAATACTCTGACCCCAGAGGATAAGTTTGGCTGGCCGTCTCGAACCATGAGCTGCCACGCCGCAAGATTTCTCATACAGCTGCGAGATCCAATTGACGGCCGCAGCAGCATCAAGTCTGATGCCATTCTCGGTGGGTCGACCCCGAGACGTCCAGTAACCTCGGTAGCTAAGGCATACCATGGTGCAGCGGACGTGTCTGGTCTCCTGCGACATATGTCTCTTCAGCATGCACAGCGCGGAGGACAGGTCCGGAAGTCGTGGGGGAATAGAGGCCGCATTGCCTACCAATAGTAAGCCTTCAGATTCGCTTCCACAAGGTACGTAGATGCGAGTAACAGACCCTGAAAGTAGAGAACATAGAATGAAGCGTCTGGCTTAGCCTGGTCCCTTGTCTTCCCGAGGTCTATCTCGGCGACGCAAAGAGCCAGGTCAGTCCCATCAGCGGCATGGGTTATCTCTTCTCGCCATTGAATACCACCGCATCGATCAGCGTAGTCTTTGATGGTTTCCAGGCGGGAATTGGGTGGCAATCCGGGCATGTAGATGATCTTGTTCTGGAAGACGACCATCATGAAGCACTTCCACGTCCACAGCCCTACGAATAGGCCACCGAATACTACCGGGGCAAGCATAAGACCCTCGACGTGGAGATTTCTCCTGCATGTCAACGTGTTGACGCGGGGTGTCGTGGAAAGCCGTGATGGGGCAATCACTACTTGGCGAATGCGTCGAGTGGCCATTCCGGAAGCGCCGCGGAAGGAGAGCATCGTGATTGGGGATGAAGGAGCATGGTTGGTATGACTTCAGGCGGGGTAAAGCAACGAGGGATATTTTCAAACCAGAACACGGTCAATTAAAGAACGCCGTGAGGATCATATCATCGCTTTACGATAGGGTGCAAGAAGGCATATGTATTCAGATCACATGTGGGTGTATGAGGCATTGGAGGTCAGCGTCGTCGTTGAAAATTAGAGGCCCAACCTGCTAATCTTCGGGGACTGCGTGGTAATGCAAGCCTAAAAACCTTAGCGCATTTGTGCATTGTTGGGGGCCTTGTCTGCATTGGGCCCGCGCCGGAAGATCCCTGGTCCCAGCGTCAATTCACTTGATTACAGGCCCGACCGCACCGGCACCGCCGTTCATTGGCTGCTCTACCCGATTTGGTCATTGATTTCAGTGGGTTCACTGACGCAGCGCCCGCCCGCATTGATGCACCCTTCTCGTTATTATCGAGCCATCAATTCGTGCATTCTTCAGCATTCAACTCTCCAAGCTCCCTCTTGCGTCCTGGGACCTCCAACCTTTCGATACAAAAACCACGACACGAACACACGAGCATACGAACCATTCATCATGCCCGGACAAACCAACGGAGATGCTGATGACGAAGACCCTCATCGCGTCGAGGTCGTGGAGGACGAAGCTCGTTCCGAGCGAGGAGATGGTCACCCGAGCCCGGGCCCAAGTCCGGGCTTGAGGGATAGCAAGGGCTGGGACGGCAAGCTACGCATCGATCGCACCGCCCTGGTCCAGAACCCCGAGGCTTTGTCGGATCCCGAATACTCGGATGACGAGAACGTGTTGCCTGGGGGCGAGATTGGTGCCGACGAAGGTACGTTCGTCCCATCTTAATAGCTTGCATCTTACTGACAACCGGACCCCCCACCTCTAGACCTCCTAGACGACGAAGATCCCGAAACCGACGACATCAGCCTCACCCACTCACGGGTCAAGTCAATATCTGCCCTGCGATTGGAACGATTCAAGAACGTTGAGCGACTGTGCCTCCGCCAGAATCTCGTACAACACATTGAGGGGCTCTCTGGTCTGGGCCCCACCTTGACGGAGCTGGATCTATACGACAACCTCATTTCACATGTCAGGGGTCTCGACGATCTGACCAAGCTGACCACCCTGGATCTCAGCTTCAACAAGATCAAACACATCAAGCACATCGATCACCTGACCGAGTTGACCGACCTGTTTTTCGTGTCAAATAAGATAAGCACAATTGAGGGCTTGGATACATTGACGAATTTGCGCCAGATAGAGCTTGGATCCAACAGGATACGGGAGATTCAGAACCTGGACGCCCTGAAGAACCTGGAGGAGCTGTGGCTAGCGAAGAACAAGATTTCAGAGCTCAAGGGCCTGGGAGGATTGCCGAAGCTCAGACTGCTGAGCATTCAGTCCAACCGGATCAAGGATCTGTCACCACTGCGGGAGGCACCGCAACTAGAGGAGCTATATATCTCTCACAACGCGCTTGAAAGCCTCGATGGCATAGAAGAGAATACGAATCTGACAACCATTGATATTTCCAACAACACGATAAAGAGCTTGCGGGGTCTGCACTGTCTGAAGAAGATTGAGGAAGTGTGGGCTAGTTACAACCAATTGTCCGACTTCAAGGACATCGAGCAGGAGCTGGGCTCACAGGAGACTCTCACGACAGTCTACTTTGAAGGCAATCCGTTGCAGCTAAGACAACCTGCGCTGTATCGGAACAAGGTCCGCTTGGCCTTGCCTCAAGTACAACAGATCGACGCTAGTGAGTTCAAACAGTCCATGATCCAGTGATGAATGGATATAGCTGACATAAGGGCCTTTAGCATTCGTCAAAGCTGTCTGAATAGCAAGCACACAATGGGACAATCGTGCGTTTCACATTGCATAGCAACGGAGTTCCGGGAAATCTTGTCACCGGGTGTCCGCTCGATATCACACAAAGGTAACTTCGAAGCATGGTTGGCAAGGTGTTCATGGGCGGCTGGGGCGTATCATGGGCATCAAGGGCCCCGGCTTTGGGAGGTTGGTTTCTGCCCGTACGAAGACCACGACAAGCTGATAGAGACAAGGAAAAGATCCTTGCTGGTTTTAGTCTTTATTGCAAGTATCCGACATTATGACAATACGATAGAGAAGCGAAATGAATGCTCGTCTAAACCACGCTATGATATTGTTTCTGCCCGTATGTAATACATAACTACAGCATAGCCACCACTGACAAGTACCGAGAACAACGTGTCCCACCAGCGAGTAGAAGGCGCGGGGGGGTTTCCTGGACTGTCCATCTTTATCTGGAAGGCGTCAGATGTATCCAGTGCCTTGCCATGGTCAACTTGCGGCACACGATCGGACTTCTTAGCCAAAGATCCACATCTTGTCGGTATCGAAGTACTGGCATAGACATGACGATTAGCATCCAACTATATCAGAGCCAAGCTGACATATGACCGACAGGGGACGGGTTGGGTCAAGATGGAGAGTGGGAAGTGGCCCCGTTCAGGAAAGCCAAACCGCAGACAGGGGGACAGAAGACTAGACTCACGTTCGAAGGCTGGTTGAAGCGGATGCCCATATCCTTAGCGAAGATCTTGTCGATCTCGTCCTGCTCGAGATCAAAGCCAGTGCATTCCAAGTTCTGCGCCAGCACGGCCGGGCGGCTGGTCTTGGGGATGACGGCGAGCCCACGCTGCGTGGCCCAGCGCAGCAGCACCTGCGACGGCTCCTTGCCGTGCCTCGCGGCGATGCCCGTGATGAGCTCGTCCTGCATCAGCGGCACCATGGCCTCGGCGTGCTTGAAGCCGAACTCCAGGAAGCTGGCCGGGCCGAACGAACTATATGCCGTCACGGCGATGCCCTCGGCCTTGCATAGTGAGACAAGCTCTTTTTGCACCAGGTAGGGGTGATGCTCGATCTGCAGCGCTGCGGGTGGAATTTTGGCGTACCGCAACATGTCATAGAGCAGCTGCGCCTGGAAGTTGCTCACGCCGATGCTGCGCGCCAGCTTGTTGGTTACGAGCCCCTCCATCGCGGCCCACGTGACGTGCATCGGCGTGCTGGACCGCACGATCTGCGACTTACCGTCGAAGTGCCAGCCAGGGGGGTACCGCACAGCCGGGTCGACGTACTTGAGCGCGCCGGGGAAGTGGATCAGGTACAGGTCGAAGTACTCGAGGCCCCAGTCCGACAGCGAGCGCCGGCAGGCCGGCTCCACCTTGTCGCCGTCCTCGAAGACGGGCCAGAGCTTGGACGTGATGAAGAGGTCTTCGCGTGTCACTAGACCCTCCTTTATGGCGCGGGCGACGCCCTCGCCACACTCTTTCTCGTTGCCGTAGTCTGTGGGGTGAAGGGGGGCGTGTTAGTGCTCTACTCTGCTGCTCGGTGGAGGATGGATGGATGGGTGTGGTTGGGGATTATGTAATCAGGGGTTTGCTCCCGGGTAGCCTCGCCGCCATTTGTCCCGGATAGCAGCAGGGGTTCTGGCTGGCGGGGTAATGCTGGGAACAAAGGACCCCTCCTTTTCCTCTTTGTCCTTGCGCAAAACCGCGACAGACACGATCGCCAACCGGAGGACAGAGAGAGGTGACAGTGTCACTTACCGCAAGCTCCGTCAAAGAGCCGGTAGCCGGCCTTGATGGCGTTGTAGACGGTGTCGGCGCACGTGGCGTTGTCGACCTTCCACAGCCCGAAGCCCACCTGTGGCATCTCGTAGCCGCTGCTCAGCTTGATTGTGGGACCCATGGTGCGCGTGGTGGAGGTGACGACGGTTCTGTATAGGTATTTGGTAGTGCGAGGTGTCGCGAATCGCACGGGACGGAGGTGGGTGGTTAAGGTTGATGCTCGGAAGGCGAATGAGGGCAGTTGACACGTCCGGGGTAGACGGAGGGCGAGCATGAAGAGATGAGAACGGGGTCCTGGAGGGAGAGATGGTATTATATGTGTTATAGGTTTGGGGGACTTGGGCTGGTTATTGGGATGGCTTCTTACAGGTAGGAGGTCAGGAGGCAAACACACTGTCTGCAGCAAGCCGCCATCAACCCAGAAACCCAAGCAGCGTCAAACGCCCATACGACCAGCTATCCCAAAGATGTTTATCTTACACCACACCCCGCGTGTGAAGCTACCCATGTCACATGTGCGATCTCAACACGCTGGCTGATTGGCATGGTTAATAGTAGCAATCAATCGCATAGCCCCTCAACCCACACCCCTCACGATGGCCCCCAAGTTCGAGAGCGTGTTACATAGGCGCGACGGCTTCTCATTCGTGCCTTTACAGATGCGGTCCCCAGAGCCCCAATCTCGACTGAGGGGCATATCCAAGGTTGCCCGCAGCAGCTCTTTCCATGCGTCAGATGCTGGGAGCTTGTCCGATTCGTGCTTTCCGATTTGCTTGACATTTGTCCTTGCCGATGTCCCTGCATATAATGCGTACGCGAACTTTGGGCTGTCCGCAGTAGTGACCGAGTGATAGAGTTCCTGCAGAAGTGCACATGCTGGGTTGTATTTAGCCTGAATGCATCTCTGCGGCTGGGTGATCTTCCATCGCTGGTTGCGTCTCTTGGCGGAACTTCATACAGGTCTTGCCTTGATAACCATGAGAGCGAAGCTGCGTCTCTGCGCGTATCATGTCTTCATTTTTCTGTGGTGCAATTAGGTGGCGACAGAAAGTTCGGTCCGCAGATGGAGACTCATCACACTCTGTCCCACGATGTCGCCGTGGCCCGGGTCTTGAGACCGGGCACGGCACCTTCGAATCTGCCAATTCCGTTCTCATGTGGCGGCTCAGGGTGCCATGTGTCTACTTGTGGCTCTTGCCTCTACGCTCGATCATGTGGTCACTTATTGGGGGTATGTATGTCCATGTCAATGTTCATAACACTCTGAAGACGTCATCACTTCGTAGCAACTATCCATTTGCCACACTTGCCTGGTAGGTCAGAATTCATTTAGATCATGCTTCACTATTGTGATAAAGACTTGTCTCGTGAATATGTCACGCCTCGGGCGCGTATCTTCTGTCTTAATGGCCACGAAATGCTACAGTCTCCCCGGTTGGCTCGGGTTATTCGATCACATAGTTCACTTAAACCAGATCCGAAAGCGTCCTTTGACCAGGGTCGAGCAGGTGGTCGTTGTTGCGAAGAGAAAAGCTCCAGTTGGACTTTGTCGCTGGATAAAAGAAAATATCTCGACAGCCTTTGATGCGCCGACGCTTTGTCACCTCGCACTCCTGCATGATCTCAGGGCAATTCCTATTTTGCCGCAACACCATATTGAAAAATAAGCGCTTGTCGAATTCTTTTCTGAGACTCATCACATAGTCGAAGACTCATCACATAGTATCGCTGATTCTGACAACTGTCCTGATGGCGACAGGGCCGATTCGTAAGTCCGGTTCCTTCCCACCTGGATGAAGTTGACTGCTAAGAATTGCCCATACCAGTCATCCCTCTGCTTTTCCAGACTGCTCCTGTCAACTCACGTTACCCTGTTTTCATCGACGCACAGCAGTCTTGGAGAAGCGTACGGGGGTTCTTCGAAAAGAACTCTAGCAGGCTTAAGTATCAGCGTGTGCTGGGTTTCGGTGGAGGGGGAATCGCCCAGCTTTGGACCTTGAATGGAGGCGATGGAAATCGCATTAAAGATGTCGTTGTCAAATACCCTGTCACCTCTTCCAGTAAGAGCAAGGTCGATAGCTTGAAGGAAGAGATCAGGTGGATGAAAGTAAGTTCTCTACAAATAGGCTCAACTCGGTCGTCAGTCTTTCTCACGTCCAATTGCATAGCGCGTTGAAGGGGCCGAACACATGGTACGCCTCGAAAGCTTTAGCCCTGCGACGCTAGCACCGGGCACGTATAACCATGAGAAGAAGAGCCTTCCCATCTTGATCATGGAAAATTGCTCCAGGGGGAGCTTGGATATCCTGATTCGCTGTGTAAACGAAGCCTGGGATCTGAATCAATCCATCACCAATTCAGACGACAAGATGCTAATGTACATACCGGAGCGAGTTCTGTGGAGGATTTTCCTGTGTCGTAAGTAGGCCTCAACTATATTGCTGAACTGTGTTTAAATTGCTCACATGCCTTATACGAGAATTGGCAAAGGCTTGTGTTGCTATGGCAGTAAGTGATATCCTACCCCTCGGCCGTGGACAAGCCCACTATACTAAGACATTGTAATAACGGTACCCGCCGAATCCTCTGAAAGAGGCGATGAACGAATACAGAAAAGGATACAGGGAGGAGTGCGACCCCGACCAGCCGCCCCGGAAGATTGTACACCTGGATATCGATCCTGGGAACGGTAAGCGTGTTTGCCGCGCCTTGACCTTCACCCAGACTCACCGTGCGCAGTTTTCGTGGGAGATCCTGATCCGAAACCTTTACATCCGGAACATAGCACAATACCTATCTGCAAGGTTGGTCGCCACTCGAAGAGAGACAGTGACGCACACAGACTGCTAACATCGATTCAGTTCGATTACGGGTGTGCTCGTGAGTGGGATGATAGCTGGCCCGACAAAGTGTGAGTCCAGGCGCTCCAGCTCGTGCGCAATGTGGCTAAATACTCGACCTAGGAAAACGGTTTGGGCTAGTTGGGGGAAGAAAGTTTACGCCGCTCCTGTAAGCATCACCTGCACCAAGCCATAGTGGCTGTTCTGACTGATGTGACTCTCAGGAGCAACATAAGGCCAGGCGAGCCACCGCAAAGGACGGAATTGGCCCCGCGACCAACGTTTGGGGCATCGGAATGGTTAGTACAACCAGCAATAAGATCAAATTCAACGAGTCTGCTAGCTAAAATCTGACACTTCTGACACAGGTTATGTTCAATCTCCTCACCACACATGCCATGGGCTACACTCGACGTGAAGCGAGGCGAGTCGTCATCCCGGATCCCCTTGGGGGCACGGTGCAGCTCATGACATATGCATGGCACATCCTCAGTCCACCGGGCACTGGTGATCCATATTATGACGAAACGCAATGACCTCAACCTCCGCGCGCTCATCGCAGGCTGCCTGGCAGACACGCAGACAGACCGGCCGTCGTTGCCTTCTCTTGTCGAGAGAATCAAAGCGGCTATAGACCAGGGTGACCGAATGGCCGCCGCCCTGCCCAAGCCGCCCCCGCCTGGCGCATCATCACCGCCGCAGTCGACCCCGACAGGACCTCGCCGGTTGGTCACGTCGCCCGCGTATAATAGCGCACCAGTAACTCTAGTGCCTGGTCCAGCCGCAATATCCGCTAGTTCGGTCCCAGGCGCACCACTCAGTGCCCCTGCGGGAGCACGCGTAGGCGGATCCGTGTCTCGCGTGGCGTCGTTGATAGGAACTATGACCTTCTCGGGCGTGACCCAGAGCAGGAGTGGGCCCGGTACCCCAGATGCTGGCGCTGCGGCCCCTGCTGCTCTGCCACCGCCGCCGGGCCCAACCGACCCAGGACCTCCCGGACCTCCTCCGCCCGGACCGCCAGAGCAGATGTGGGAGCCGGGAGGAAAGCCGCTGGTCGAGAAAGACGAGCTGGTCGACCGGTTCTACAGGCAGTTCCTCCGGGACGCGCCGCTGCCGAACGACAGGTATATAGATATCTGGCCTAAAACGCCGCTCACGCCAGATGCACCGCCTGCCCCGGGACCGAAGGGTGGGGATGCCGGGGCCGGGGCCGGGGCCGCGGGGGCCCCATGGGATGATCCTGCCTTTTGGTGATACTCACGGGTTGTCGGAGGACTGGGGTGGCAGGCGCAAGCATATCAGGGGTTCATTTTTTATAACGTAATCGAGTGGCGTTGGGCTTTAATTGTGTTATGTTGTTGGTATTTAAATTATTAGAAGCTAGATTTTAAGGGTGTTATAGCAGGAGTATTATAGTTATAAAGTTAGTAGCTAGTTTACAATTGTTTTAATACGATAAAAGGGTTTTACTACGTTTTATATAAGTTAAATAAGTTAAGTTTAAAGTATTAACTTAATTTAATTTAATACTATTAATTAATTTAAATCAAGTTAAAACTTTATCCTAAATTATTTAGAAGTATAGTTTTAGAGCCTTAACGCCGGCTTTGAAACTAATTAAAAGCTAAGATTTTCTTTTAAACTTATATTTCTAACCGTATAATTAGCCGCATAATATATTTTACTAGCTATATTTATTATATATATTATACCTACTATTTTATATTTACTATAGGTACTAATTATAATTATATATGTAGCGGATTTTTCAATCAACTTATTATTTTTGAAATTGTGGGAACAGGCTTGAACGATCAATCATAATACTCGAGTATGGGGTCAAGGTTATGATGTTGCTGATGGTTGGATTGGGAAGTCTAGCTGGACCTGCAGGTCTGGCTAAGTAACCTCACAATCCGGTATCTAATCTCTTATCTAATCATACATGTGGGTTCTATATGGATGGTTTGACTGTGGAATCACATGGATCCAACAGAAATACTCATTTTTAATATTGCGACTATATTTAATCGCTTTAACATATTAAAAGCTATATGAAAATATCGACATTATTTTGAAATTTTGTTATTTAAATAACATGAAATATTATGTTATTTAACTTAAATTAACCTGTTTAACTTAGTTTATAAGTATTTATTAAGACTTTATTTAATTCAATTTAACTTATTTTAATTTATTCAAACTTAAGCTTATTTAACTTTATTCAAATGAAACGTATAGTTGTTTTAAAAGTCCCCGATTGATCTTTAAGTTTAGAATTTTTAAAAACATCAATTAATCGCTAGTTATAGTTTATAAGTGTCGGATGGGGTTGCTAAGGGTGTGTGTTGGAGGTGGTCTGTGGGCGGGGGATCAGGGGTGGTCCGAGCCCTATAGGAACGGTCTACTAGCGACCGTTGCCCCACTGCTCAGCTGCAACGCCAGTTGGACGCGTTAGTACTGTATTTGCATACAAATACGTCTACCTTAGGTAGCAGTGGAACACTTAGATAATCCACAAACGAATGAACAGTATTCCGCATACTGAAATTTGACAATAAGTATATAATGCCTAGTGTCCAAGCCTGCAGCTACTAGCCGGTTATTACCTAGTATTAATCGGCTGTAACTGTGACGGCCTGCACAGACCTTCCCACATGACAAGCCAATACCGGGAAGGATCTGACCAGAGGATTCCCCTAAAGGGACAACCTCCCGCTGTACCTATCTTTCTCCCTTTTCCTTTCTTCTCTAGTCTTGATATTCTCGTCAATAGAGTAATAGCTGCTTGCTGCCAGCCATGTCCCAGCTCCTCAGTACGCTCGCCGTGACAGTAACTTAATATTAATTAGTTATTAGACTGTTAATATATAGGTTTTAAGCCGAGAAAAGGCTATTTTAAATATATTTAATTTATTAAAATAGCTTTTTTCTTAGGGGTTTTAAAAAAAGTTTTTTTATTTTATATACGAATTTATTTTAGAAAATTATGATATACTGTGAGATTCTAGAAGGATCACAAGTCTTGGGGGTGTGAGCGGTTGCTGCAAACGTTGTTGTCATTCTCAAGTATGCTTGGCAGGGCTAATCTACAGCTAAATACTATACTGCAACATGTCAGGGTGGATCCACTGTTCCTTTGACAGCCCACTAGTGGGTACTGCATCTAAGGGCACTATATCTGGGATCCAACATCTGACACTTATTTAATAAAAGCTTTTACTTTAAAGTTAATAATATCCTTTTTCCAACCCTAATTCTTATCTTATCATCGAACATAATAGACTTATATTAATATTTTAATTATAAATAATTTGTAAAATATTTTAGCATTTCATACCCAACTTTATTAGGTTAGTTAATATATTATAGTATTTCAACTTTTTATTAAAATATAACCTCACCTCTATAAATATTGAAACTAATGATATACAGTGAAAAATAAAACCTTATATAAAATAATTAATTTTACGGCTATAATATACCTAGTCCTTATACGGCTTGATTATACTTTATATTTAACTTTTATTAGCGTAAAAAAGCTTGGAAAGTTATAACACCTTTGTCAATAAAGCACGGTTATAACAACTTTATAAAGGACTTTTACTTTTAAAAGTATATTTTTAAATAATATTTTAATCTTATTTATGAATAAACATTACCGATAAGTTTAATATCAATTTATAAAAGAATTTAATTCTAGAAGTTAAAGATATAACATATATTAATATCGGGTTTTATAAAAGATTGTAAAGGGAAAGCCTGGTATTAAGTGTATTATTTAAGTCGCGGTAATTATTAAATTTATGACTTATACTCGTATTTATAAATAAAAACAATGTCAATTATACACAACGTTTTTTATTTCTTATAATATATTTTTAGTTTAAAAAGTAAAGTTTAAATTATGGTAAATATGGGTGAAAGGTTTTAAAAAAATTAGGCTAGATGATTTACCGGTTTTAGCTTATTAAGGCGCGGTTTTTCTTATTAGCCGCCAAGACTTACCGGACGATTTAATTTCGACCGATATAGTTATACTTAGCTAAATTAAAGCTTCAACCAGCTGCAAGCAGTTTATACATTTAAAAAATATAAGCATATAAGCAGGTATACGTTATCAAATTCCGCTTTAAACCTTTAAGCTACGAACTTGTTCCCGCTTAAAAAACAGTGTGTTAAAAAGGTTTACATGTTCATGATTTTAACTACGCGATTATTATAAGCTTAAAACTAAATTATGAATATTAAATCTAACGTTAACATAGATAATAACCGAGTTGCGAATATAAACGAGGTGCAAGATGAGGCTTTTACATATAAAAAGTCGGTGCGTAACCGTGCGTCTATCTTTTAAAAACGTCCGAAAAATCTCGGACCTGTTGCATTTAATATAGTCTTTTTTATAAATAATAACAATATATAATAATTATTTTTCACTGATTTAATAGTCTGTGCATCTTAAAAAAGCTTCTTTATCAAGGTAGTTTTAGCATATTTTGAGATAAATCTTGAAATAAAATAGCTATAAACATAGGAAAAGTCACATTAATGTATTTTTCAAGCTATAAACTTAAAAAGAAAGGTCCGAGATGATTCCGATTTTTTGTTGTTAAGTAAAAAATTAGCGCACCGACTTTTTATATATAAAAGTAATGTGTTGTGCAATAGGTGTCAATTAATGTGTGTGTGAGGGCGTGGAGAGCATGGACCAGATGGGCTGGAGCTGCATCTATTTATGGTGGATGCAGCTTCTTATCTAAGTCCAGCACTAATCCATCTAGTCAGCCCTTATCTACGCTATCTATCTAGATCAACACACAAGTGGCTGTGGCCATGCTAGACGCATACTAGCTACTCCTCCTGGTGACACGTTTCAGAAAGCCCCACCTCGCAGCTCGCTTATTATCTAAGTTATTATTAAATTAAATAAACTAATTAATATTATGATTTTAATAAGCTTAAATCAAATAAGTTATATTTAACTAGCTTGTTAAAAAAAGTTTATAAGCTTAACTTAATTAAGTTTAAATACGAACTACCGGATTATTAAAATAATAGATTTTTCGTTTAAAGTAAAAGTTTAACTTATTAAAAGTTCGAACACCCGACCTTTAAAGTTTAAAACCCTCTTTTTATATTAAGTGTGAGAATTCGTCGTGCGGAATATTTGGTTCATACGTGCGTGTTCGTTGGTTGTTCCAAGTCTACCTGGTACGGACAGATTCACGGCTAAATACGGGTGCAGCGCGTCTATCCGTGTCAGATTTGAGCCAATCGTGAGGTTGTGCCAGAGGGGGCTGGATCGAGACGGAACAACTTGGCTCCGGTATCTACCTATCAAGGTGCCCTCTGGGCTCACCTTTAATCCAACAATCCGCGGTGGTCACGGAGCTGTGGGACAACCATCCCACCCACATCGCACAGACCACCTTGGGACACACTCTGAGCCATCACCACATCTGACATTAATATATTATTACTGTTGGCATACAGGTGCCGTGCAGGTGTCGTGCAAGTGCGGCGCCAGCTGCGCGGCAGCTGGAATGGACCAGAATAGCTGGTCAAAGGAAGAAAAGGGCAGAAAGCCCCTATTCAGGGATGGAAAGCCCCCATTCAGGGGCGATAGACAAGGAGTCGTTGACAGTCAGATCTAAGGATGGGCCAGTCTTTCAGGATTGCACTGTATTTAGTACTGAGATTCGTCCTCCGGACCGAAGTTAGATCAGGCAACCAATACACTCCATTCTTGACCCCATGATATGGTCCTGTATTGTGACAATTACGTTATAATACTTACAAATATATTAAGCTTACTTAACTAGAGTTAAATATAAAAGAACCCTGTTTAACTTATAAGTATCGTAAAAACTTCGATTTGATTAAATCAATTTAATCGGCTTGATCTGATAGTGACGCTGTCAGAATCCATCGTGAGCACCTATCGCAGGTACAAGGAGGACACCTCCACCTTCATGACATGGCTGGGCCAGACCGCCAAGAGTTGCGGGTGGAAGCCCACTACGCAACCCGTCGAGTCTCTGTCAGAACACTCGCAAGCGCATCAGCAGGCACAGGACGAGGGGAAAGGCCCAAGGCTGAAGGGAAAAGCTCGCAAAGCTGCTAAAGATGCCGCCAAAACGGCGCGAGTTCCGACAAAGCCGGCAGCAACTAGTGACGCCCCGATCTTCAAATACACCGTTACGACACAGGACCTCCTGAAACAGATTGATAGTATCGCGGAGTCAGGCAAGAGCAACGTGCGATGCCAGAATCGATACGGTGGTCGCTAGAAGCAGCCATCAAGGCTCGTCGCCGCTGTGCCTTATGGTATGAGCGCACCCAAGGCAGCAACCAATCGGCTCGCGATGGTCATCAACATTTCATCGACATGCTGCAGCGAGCCCTGAATGTACTCAGAAGCACAGATGGCGAGCCAGAAGCCTCTGTCAGTCCGAAGAATGGTCCCAACCCAAAGGCTACTGACGTCGACTTCGTCCGGTGAGTACCTACCCTAGCTCTTGTTTTCAAAGACTGTATGATACTGACTGTCATAAAGGAATGCATTCGAAGCTCTAGAGGTAGAGGATATATCGGAAGATGAGGATGATGCTGCTACACAGGCGACGCCACCGTCTAAATCGACTCAAGTCAAGCAGACGAACTACGTTTATGAGTTGGAGTCAGACAAGACGTGGGAGCTCGCTTTTGCGGTGTTTTCATTCTTCGAAGATCTCCATCGACTGAGAACTGAGATGAAGGGTATATGGACGCAGTATATCGACGGGTCTACATCACTTCTACAGGCCACCGTTCTGACGGCAGCCTAAGAGACGTACCGAATGTACACGGACTTATACCATGACCCAAGCGAATACACCTACGGGGACCTCGCAGACATCATGTACACGGCACAATCGATAACAACCGGTGAGGGGCGGTCATTTCTGTCGGCGGCGACCTTGGAGTTATCGCCTTTCGACGAGTTTGCGTTTTTCCCTGCTAGTCGGGCTCTGATCGTGCTCGGGCGCACTCGTGAAGCATTTCAGAAGTTTGCCTGGCCGGCGCCCATCACTCCAATGCGGTTCAACTATATCAGCCGGCCCGACCTGCTGATGAACAACCCGCGAATGCAGCGATATAAAGAACAGCATCACTTCATCTCACAGATGGTCCTCGACATGCACCTCCATGACACCCTCAAGAACCCATCAAAAAGTGCGGCCGGACTAATAGGCAACAAGCTTGACGACACAAAGCTACCTTTTGAGGACCCTATGTACAGTTCTCTGCGTCCTGTCTGGACCGAAGGCATCGTCACCACGAAAGCGGTCTTCGCCGCTCAGCTATTATGGGACATCCACACACTTCGCAAAGCCAATCCCAACACCGACGGAACCAAGGCTTTGAACAGAGCTGCTATCGGGTACCAGCGCATGTTCAAGTTCATCACACATCTTGATGGTGCGTTGGACACTGAAGATGTCCGATGGCTCTCCAAAGATTCGTGGCTGTTGATGGATATTTCTCGCCGTGTCGAAATCCACTTAAAGCGTCCCCCCATCATTGATTTCAAGAGGATTTGCCTCAAAGGCATGGTCACCAGCGACGGGATGCCACTCGAAGCGCTTCCGCCAGAGCAGCGAAAGGCCATGGAAGCCCATGCGAGAGCGCAGGGTTGGACTCCAGCGACGAAGGAGCACGAAGAGAATGCGAAAAGGCTGGGCGCCCACAAGACGGTCAAGCCTCACGAGAGCCCATCCTTCCTGGTCGATGAGAACCTACTGTACGGAGGAACGATTCTGCTTGACATCGCATCGATGGCCGAGGAAGCCGGTGTTGCTCTCGCGAACCATCACCTTTCAATCTTTGCGACCGCTCATCTTTACAACGCCTTGTTTCGGTTGGGGCTGTGCCAAACCCGATGGCCCGAGATAAAGCGAATCATGGAAAAACATGTTGATGCGATTTTCGCCAACGATGTGCCAACGAACATCAAGGACATGGTCTCCCGATTCGCGTATCGCACTGGCGTCACGACTACCAACGCCCGGCGCTTCAACGCCAAAATGCCATGGAAGTTTCAAGCCACGCCCGCGACGCAGGCACTTCGCTAGTTCTTTTCTGCGCAAGAAAGTCTACCGCGTCTTCTGAGCGAACTGGCGGATCAGGCGGAGACGCACAGTCCTCAATCGCCCGGTCACGTCTCGTCCTCCGGCGGCAAGAAGTCAATCGCGGCTCCTGGGCAGCGTAAGCACCTAACGCCGCGACATGCCCTGCATAGCTTGGAGAAGTACATCGGGACGGTCCTTCCGGACATCGAGATCGACTACGTAAACCTCACGCGGCGCTGTAACAAGCTCATGAACAAGCTGAGGTCAAAGATCTCTGCGGACCCCGGCATCAACTACCCGTCCATCCAGACGCCCGGCGATACCAACGACCACGGCTACCTGGTGGTCGTCCTCGGCACTCAGGACGAGATGATAGATTTCGAGGAGAGGCGGAAACGCCCGAAGAAAGGTCGACAAACTGGCGGAGACGCGGAGGACGAAGCTTACCCGCCGCAGATCCAGCTTGCCAACGACATACTACTTGACTTTTTGAAGTCATCAAACCCCTGAAGTTTGTCCGGATTGGTTGTAATCATAGTGGCGTTGACATCGGTACCATTTGACCTGCGCAAGGCCGGAATTGTTCGATATACAGTCCACACCCACAGCTTCATCCGGTACTTAGGCTTACATGTTCCATCAATGAGCATCATGACGTTGATCAAGGTTGCGGCTGAGCCTGAATTGATGAATATATTGATACCATCGCTCGGTGTGCCAGAGTGGGACCGCGTAGTCCAGCTATCAGCGCGATCGGGATGTAGACCCTGACCCCCTTCTGGTGCCTCCTGCTCCAGGTAGGAAGCTTGTAGGCGTGGCCTTGATTTCATCCACCACCTCTATTTCGATATGTTTTGGGTGTGGCTCCAATAGGTTCTCCTGGCTTCTGTAACCTTGAGCACTGGATGGCTTCCGAGCACCCTGGCGTGCGTTGGAATTTCTGGCTGGCTGGGTTTCATCTAACTCGACATCGTTTTCAAAACCAAGCGAATGTCGGCTGGCCTTCCTCCCTTTGCTTTGATCAGCAGCCCCTATCGTTCGAGGGGCTGCATCATCAGACACGTGGTAGTTCGAAGGTGTTGTTGACAACCCCAGGGTCCTCAGGATGATGGTCAATATAGGCCGCAGTGTGACTAAATTGCCAGCGGTTATACCGAGTCCCGGTTCTACAATCGTCCAGATCGCGGTATCGAGATTGTCCCCTGGAGCACAAGGCAAAGTTAGGCATCTCAAACTCAGTGGCTGAATCGCTAGGAAAACTGACAGGTAAAGTCGGCCGACCCCCAGCTGTGGATGTAAAAGAATCGGACGATGACAGCAACACTTGCTCTGCTTGATGTCAGCTCAATGTCAAACCGTTATTGAACCTTGCACTCACACGCAACCCAGGCCAAGAATGGGAACGAGGGCGATTTTGGTCCTACGGTCCATCTGCAGGCCGATAATGATGAAGACGGGTAGAAGTGTGTAAGACAAGTCCATGAGCAAAGTGCAGACGCCATAGATGTAGAGGAGGATCCTAATTAGCCAGTCATCCCAGCAGGCTCCCACGGAACTTTTATCCCAGAAGCGCGCCAAGGGAATGCATTGCAAGAAGGTGACGAAGATGAAGGCAATCCCCTGGAATACTGTCGAAAAGATGAGGCCAAAAATGACGTGTCGATGCCATTTCTTGACCGTAAGGCGTAGAAAGAAGCAACCGATCGACAGTCTCGAAAAAACGACCTGAAGGTCATACCAAATATAACACAACCACCAATACTGTCATACGCATTAGAATTTGGAGCTGGTGCTGATGGGCAGGATCTACTGACGAATCTAGTCTTCACCACGGCGTCGTGTGTAAGGTCCGCTTCATGTCGTCCAAGACCATAACAGCTGGCGGTATAACTACACGCACCATAGACCGCAAAGAACACCTGTAACGCGTGAGTATGTGACGACGACCCCGGAACTTGGGGTGTGTATTGGTAGGATATGCCTACTCACCGTCGCGCCGGCCATGAACCAGTCGTCAAGACCGAAGGCCTTGACCATGCGGATTCGGACATAACATCGCAACGCAGTTGTAACCCAAGACGTAACCAACAAGGCAATTATTACTGCCCGGAGCTGTATACCCCGATCCGGAATTTCGACGTTTGACATTGGAGTAAGTTCGAAAGGCGTGAATCGAGACAACAAGACGATTAAGATCCGGAGTAGGTAATTGTCTTCCGAGACAGAAACACGCTTCCCGAATTAGAGGCACGATGGCATTTCAAGGTCATGCCGGACAGCTCGACGAGAAAAGTAGAAAAAAGTGAAAAAGGCAGGCTGGGGAGGGATGCTGGAGTGGGCAACAACTAGCTGGCGTCTAGGGTTATTATCCGCTCCAAGCTCGATGTTTCTCAGCACGCTAGATCACGGCATTGAATTCATCGTTACCGCTCATCTCATACAAACTAGACGCTTGTCGTTGGTGCATCAAGCTGTCGGGACGGATCGAGCGCCGGATCAAGACTATTGATTGTATGTGGAGCCTTCCCGGTGGTCCGTGTCAACGATCTCAAGTTGCCTGATTCATGAGCTGCATACCGAGGAGAGCCTTCGTCTCATTAGTCGCAGACATTGCCTAATCTGCTCAACAGTGGCGAGGAAGTGCTGCAAGCATTGCCGATGTGCGTGCCGTGCCGCGACCAAGCTGCCGTCTTCTGTCTTGTCCCTGGTTGTGGAGGAGGAACTACCACAACTCACTCACTGCTGCATGAAGTTTACTAAATAACATAGAATTATCTTCGGCATCACCTGTTCGCAAAAAACTCTCCGTGTACTTGGCAGACGAGGATCGACAAGCTACTTACCAAGCTTTGGAACGAAAGACGAAGCTGCATTACCCTAACAAGGCCCATTAGCCAACCACCAAAACGAATGAGCCAACGACAGGTACCATAGAGTCCGCCTGTGAGAGCCCTGGCGAATCGGGGCGCTCGGAACGGCACACTAAGCCAAGATGGAGCACGTCTAGGAATGGTGAGCCGGGAGCCTAGATGAGCTAAAAGGGGTAACACCAATGCAGGACCGAAAAGGAATCAAGCTTAAATGGCTTCCACACTCGGGACACAACTTCGGGATCTATGGCGGATCTGTAGATCATGACGAGCTATACCCTGACAACCCCTGAGACAATGCTCCGTGACGATTTGCATCCGAAGACCCCGAGAAACGTGGAGGCTGCAAGCTCCAGTTTTCCCCGGGACAAAAAACACGGAGCCCTACCCCCCCTGCCGGTCCATGAGCGAAGACACTGAAGCCTTATATGAATACACCAAAAGTTAACTTTTGCTAATTTAAAATTACATAAAACAAATGTAATACGAATTATAGTTAATTATGATGAATTAATAAAATAAAAAATATAATGCAAAAGCTAAAAATAATAAGTATATACAATATTTATATAATTTAAACTTCTCATATAGATAATCTTTCTATTCTAAGTATATTATTATTTAGAATTATAATTGGAGTACCTTCTATAACCATATATTATTTAATATCTATACGAATATATAAAGGTCAATTATATTATGTGGAGGTAGAACCTCGTCGTCCTCCTAAACGTAATCATCAATGATTCGTCTTAAATGGAAGGAAAAATTATTACCTCGTATTAAGTGTCGTTGAGTTAAAATATACGGGACTGGAAAACGTAAATAATTTATTAAGTTAGTGTTTTTTAATTTAATCATGGGTAATTTATTTTATATATATTAAATATGATAATGTGCAAGAATAATAGGGATAGGTTTAGCTACTACTGGTTTAATAGGAGCAGGAGTCGGAATTGATGTAGTTTTTGGAGCTTTAATATGTTATTTTAGGTTTTGCTTTCTCAGAAGCTACTGGTTTATTTGCGTTAATGATAGCTTTTTTGCTTTTGTATATAGCTTAAATTATATATAATTATATTTTTAGTTAAGCTATCACAATTATATCTGAATTTATAAAATTAAAGTATATTAATTTGTATTCATAAAAAATTATTTAGGTGTTTTTATTAACCTGCTATTTCCTTTCTTGTTTTATAGATTGATAGTGTCATAGTGCACTCCGTTTCGGAGGCCTTAATTGACCAGAAATGCGCATTACTCAATATCCAAGGCTTACCCTCTTGTTGGTATTAGAGAAATACATAGATTCTATAAGGATCTTAAAAAAGGGGTAGGGTAAGTGGAAAGGAAAATGTTCATGAACATTTTCCTATGTTTTGGAGATAATAATAAACTAAATTTGAAAGAATTTAAGTAAAGTTATAGTGGATAATATGTCTGTATAAATATTATACTTCAAGCGAAGGGTTTAGGTTTCAAATAGAAAATATTATAAATTAATAGATAACTTTATCAAAATATAGAATTTAAATGCGAGCTTTGCAAAGCCTACATAAAACTATAATTTAGAGAGACATTTTTAACTAGAAATAGCTTGGTATTATTCGAAACTTTCAAATATTTAATTAATAATATTCAAAAATTATAGGCATATTTTAATTATGTATATATAATATTAATTATGCTGATATTTTTTAATCAGGTTGGGTGTAGAATTTTATTAATATAAGTTTATATTAATGTAATTTGAGGCATTGGTTATATTAATATAACCAATTAGTACGGAGTGGGTCGTGGTAGAGCCGTACGTTAATCTGTATATAACATATTTGGAGTTGTATAAAGGCCAAAAAATTTAACTTGATGAGAATAAATTACCTCTCATGGACGGATTTCTAGCTACACCTAGAAATAAAGCTCCAAAAACTACACCAATTCCGACTCCTGCACTTATTAAATCAGTAATTGTTATACCTCGGTCTTGTCTCTTATTGAAAAATAATAGATTATATTATATTATTACAAATTGCAAAGTCCTCCTATTATAGAATAGTTCAGGTTAATCAGCAGGTAAGTTAATAAATATTTTAGTTAAAACCTCCAGAGATTACTTTAATATATCTTAGTAAATATAGAATATTTATATTTAAAGATAAAGACATAATCCCATCTTGCTTGAGAATGCAAGTTAATACTAATGTCTATATGGCCGCTTCAGACGTTGATAACTATTTATCAAGTATTAACAAATACTTGATAAATAAATAATTTATCTAGCATTCACAGTTACTTATTTAATAATTTACCTTATGTTAGTAGTTACTTAATAAAGGATCCATGATTTATTTTATTCATTGGAGGTTTAATAAGCTTATTTATATTTATTTAGGTTGCTTTGTTTATATATTATTTTTTACCTAAACCTGGATTTACCTCAAGTAAATCCGCGCCTTCAGGTTTTAAGTACAAATGATATCCATGAAAAGGTGAGTGAATTCTTATTCCTCGATCTCGTGTTTATATTCTAATTTTATAATATATGGTGTGTTAGTTTAATGGTAGAATATAGTAGTACGGTTACTATCGTATAAGTTCGAGTCTTATACACACTTCAGCAATTTATATTGAATTTAAGCTACTCCTGGATAGGTTTCAAATTTGAATTAAAGCACCCTACACTACACTTACTTCAACGTTTGCTTAAGTTAGCTAATAATAACTAATACTTGATTATACTGTACCCTCAAGATATAAAAGTTTTAAATGATTCCTTCAAATGGTAATAATATTCTATTTGAAGGAAAATTGCAGGGAATTTAGTGTTTTTAATAAAAATATTAACACCTTCAGAAATTGGACATTTTGTAAATATGAAGGCATAATCCTATATTATAAGTGATTATAGGTTAGTCCTTGGTAGTATACGATACAGACTATTTTATTTCGGATTTATTTATATATAATCTTTCTTATAGGTGCATTATTTATGGTTATTATTGGATTAGCTTTTGTCACTATAATGTTTCTATTAGACAAGATAAAATATAAAGGTCCAACCTATATAGTAGATGTCGGACCTTGTCATAGGTAATAATCTACCGCAGAATAAAAAAAAGGTCTTTTTTTTTTTATAAAGCGACGAATGACAAGTAATAAACGGTAAATGACGAAAAGCGTTATTACCTTATATTAAACATCGTTAAAAAATTATATAGGGCGGCGTTAATTTGTTAAGTATAATATTTTCTATTATAATTATATAGATTGGTCCTTGATTCAAAGTATAAATAACATTATCCCGATATAGAATTTAAATGCGAGCTTTGCAAAGCCTACATAAAACTATAATTTAGAGAGACATTTTTAACTAGAAATATCTTTATATTCTCCAAAACTTTAACCGAAAATATTTATTACCCAAAATTTATAGTGATGGATTTTACCATCAACAATTATATAATAAATATAATCGTATACATATAGGTGAGTTTGGTGATGGCTCTGATTGAACGCTGTCTAAATGCTTGACACATGCTAATCGAACGTTTAATTTAATGGATAATTTTATTAAAAGTGGTGTACAGGTGAGTATAGATACCCGGCCTACCTTAAAGATAGGGAAAGATCCCTAATAATAAAATGGTGTGTTAATCACCGCTTTAAGAGGACTTAAGGGAATATCGTCGGGATAGGTAGTTGTTAAGGTTGTTACTTAACAAGCCTAAATTCTCGTAGTCGAATCTGAAAGGTTGATCGACCACATTGGGTCTGAAAAAACCCCAAGGCAAGCGAGTACAGCAGTGAGGAATTTTGGTCAATGGCCTAACGGCTGAACTGGCAACTTAGAGGAATGTAGACTGTAAAAGGTACTATAAATTGACTTATCGAATGAAATTCTAAATGTTTTATTGATAATGACGATAAGCAGATTGATGCCTTGACTAATTACGTGCCAGCAGTCGCGGTAATACGTAAGAGGCTAGTGTTATTCATCTTAAATAGGTTTAAAGGGTACTTAGACGGTGAAATAAATTACCTTAATAAAGGGATGATTTTGCTAGAGTTTTATGTGAGGAAGTAGTACTTAAGGTGTAGAGATGAAATTCGTTGATACCTCGGGGACTGATAAAGGCGAAGGCAACTTCTTATGTAAAAACTGACGTT